AACCCAACTACAAAGCCAATTCAACATAACTATCCTATTTTACAAATATTAACACAACCACCATTAATTTTCTTTTCATAGGTCACAACAACTTTATTTAAGAAAGAAAAAGTTACAAAAAACTGGGAAGGAGAAGTACATAAAAAGAAGCAGAACAATCAAGGTAAATAAAATTACAAACTAGAAAAGATTCCCTTAATAACTTTTATACCCTATTCTCATTGATTCTTATATTACTTTCAAACTAAGCCATCCCAAAGGATTCCAAAACGGTGCAACACCACACCGCAACAGCGTTGTTCTCCATGCCAAACAAAAAAGCTTTCATTGAGTGGAGACTAGAGTTAGCATCTTACAAGAGTCACCCAATCCAAACCAACAATTACAATTAACCAATTCCAAATTTAAGGCACGGAAGAGCAATCCAAGAAAAGAGGTCAGAATATTTGCCCACGGCAGTTTACAAAAAAGGTTGCTCGGCAACCCCAACTTGAACTTTCAGCAGCCTGAGGTAGGACACTTTGGGCTGTCACCAACAAGGATATCAAAAGGGTCGTACAAGAAAGCACCTCAGATCCCTGAACACCCAAACTCTCATGTCCCCATGAGAGGGAAGCAAAGAGATATTACTAATAGTCTAATACAAACAATAGGTAAAAAAAATTCATCCAACTCCCTAGCATTAAGATTTCTCCTAAAGATCAGATTTCAAGAAACAAAAGCTTGAAGGGAGAATCAACGAAGAAATGTGGCATTATAGTTCAAACAGGATCTGTTGATGTTTAGATACAGTTGATTAGATGATTCACCTAACCAACTGTTCTCTCGAAAGAAAAACTTAGTTTAGTTACTCCTCATCCCTTGCTCCTCAAAAATTTATTATATCCGTCTCAATCCATGCCACCCAAAGATTGCTAACACAGCATATCTCCCTAACAACATACCCCCTTTTTTTCACCAAATAACTTATCGTTTAGAAGCATTGTCTTTATTTTATACCCACACAAAGAAGGCAGTCTCCTACGAACCATATAAGAAGTATTCACCCTCCCGTGAGATATAGTCCAGAGCTCAAGTGTAAGATGGCCTTGATGCACGCTGGCATCAAATGCTCAAGAGGAATGTGGCATCAAATACTCAGGTGTTTACCCGTAATTGGTGCTATTCAGAGGCCATCTAAGTGAGGGTGCATCAAATACTCAAGTGTTTACCCGAAACAGCACCAATTTGATAACTAACAATGTAATCTATCAAAGGTTCAAATGCCAATAGTAAGTTAAAAACTTAAAAGTTTGTTGGAGCCACAGTACAAATAAAAATTGTCGACTAGGTAACACACTCGTTAATAGAATAAGTGAAGTAAAAATGTGGAAATGGGGTTGACTTATGAACTTTTTATGAACAGAAACTCAATCGGTGCTTTTCTTCTGTCCACACAGAATTTCCTTCCCAGAGGGGGGTATTTGAAGCTCGTCGAAGGTTTTTGTATAGTCATAATTTAGACTAATGGACATTAACTCACAACCAAAAACAGAAAACAGTAACAGTAAGTCAAAAGTATACGACAAAGTAAATCAAGCTTTTTACATATGACGTGTACAGACCAAAGGCTTACCACTATGGAGAGTAAAGATAAAAGATCCCTCACACCCATTTGACCCATATCAGACAAGAGAATTGCAGCAAGGACTTGAAGCGACTTCAATCCCCCTTTCTTACGCAGAGATTTCTTTAACTTGTGATCACCCAACATGGCCCTCTCCGTTGTCTCTTCACTATCATCAAGCCCATTGTATTGACCATGAAAACCATGCTTTTTATGGTTTAATCGCGATTGAACATATGCAGCCGTTCCACCAGCAACTACGATACCAGTGGCAAGTAGTAAAGTTTTCCTGCGCACAATAGCATTGGCACAATGCCATATCACCTTTAGCATATTTTCCTCTAATCATCCAACATTAATGCTAAAATAATTTATGCCAATAGGAACCAGAAAACGAAGAACAATAACAAGAGTTGCAAGAATAAATGATAATATTCAAAACTTCTAATCCGGTACTAAATTCGAGCAAGAAATCAACGTCTAAAACATCAAATTAAGACAGAAATCTCACAATAAATCCGATCAATCAACACCCAGATACCAATTAATCAAAGGATCAAAAACCAATTAAAATTAACGCAGAAATGAAGACTGCCCAAATCATTAAATAGTAACAAGCTGATGAAATTGTGAAAATCCAGTGAGAATGTTAACCAAGACTCGGTTAACACTGAAAAGCTTCAACACAGATTGATTGATTGATTGATTAAATAATACCTCCTCGACGCCATGAAATTGCGGCCATGCTCAGTCAATTGCAGCAGCTGAAGCGACGGCATAGCTGAACCAGTGAAGAATTATTGAATTGGAAGCAATAGCAACAACTGGGCCGGCGGGCGGGCGGGCGGGCGTTCAGCTTCTTCTTCCTGTTATTCTGCTCTGCTTCGACCTCTTCGACTCCCAAGCTCCATCCAAATCCAAATGGACCGACACGTGAAAATCGAACAATTGAAAAAAATTGGGAAATTGACCCGCACCGTGTGATGTCAGAAACTCTTTTCAACCGTATTGTTAAGTGAGAAATGCTGAGAAAAAATGGCTCTGGAAACTGTCAATGAATTCTACCGTATTTAATGTTTTTGGCACAATTTTCTGTGTCTGCGACATAAATTATTGTAAAAAAATATATAAAATGTTTATAAAGAGTCTTACTTTAAAAAACACCTCCTTGTTATTTTTCACCTAACTATGACTTATGATGATCAAGGATGATTCATGAACCCTAGGAAAAGGATATAGGGAGATGAGTAAAATGTACCCGTGAATTGTGCAAGTGCCACCTTCCGTGGCTAATTGGCTATTACCTTTCTTTGCGTGACAGTTTTGAGTTTTGACAACACATTTTCCAAGTACCGATGGAAACATGAGACCCACTTTATGTGCATTATTGTGAATTTTACAATAGCAAACTACCAAAATTCTCTTTACTCACATTGTACTTAATGGTTAGGTTACCTTAATCTGTTGCCATTTTTGTGTGTGCTGCTTAGACATTTTCCAAAAAGATGTTAAAATGTTCAAAGACGAATTTTGTTATTGTTTTTTGTTTTAAAGACGAATTTTGAGGTGAAGCTAGTGAATAATCTCGGATTCACGAAGTAAGAGGAAGTGGGTTTTGTGGGCCATGATTTCCAAGGTCGGAATACAAATGCCTCAAAGGCCCGGTTATGGACTCATCAGCTTCCATCCTGGAGCTACATAGACGAATTAGTAATGTCACCATCATCCTGTTTTGGAACAATGGCGCGAAGTCCGTCAACTTCACTAAAATTGACCATACTTGCTTCGCAATATATGAAAACTTGATTCACTAAGATTGATAATACTCGTGTGTGTCTTTGAGTCAAGCCCAAACAACTATTAATTAGGCACGAGACTTAAATTAATGAAATATCAACGTAGACAGGCCTACTTGCTCACTTGTTTAACGAGTCCAATGAATAGGCCATCAATATGAAATGCTACAATTTGCAACACTAACAACCCACTGTTGTCTCAATAAACAAGTAATGGATTCCCAAGATTGCAAAAATTACCATTTTACCCCTTATTGTACATCTGATTTACTTCTCGTAAATTTTTCGTTCTACGTTTGATTTACATCTCGTTTGCGCTCACGTGTTCGTAAGGACACGTACTGCGCAAAGGGACAAAGAGTGATAAGGACTCAAATGTCCACAAAGGATTTTCACTTAGGCCGTTAGGGGAATTTTCGAAATTTCTCAATGTTAGGGAATAAAATACAATCAAATTCAGGACGGATGTCACATTTTTATTCGTCATCTTCATTGGAGATGCTCTTAGTAATTAGTAATATTCACTCTTTAAACCTGTAAACTATTGTCAATTTTAAACATCAACTCATATTTCAACTAATTACTCATATTTTAGACTGCATAAAAAATGTAAAGTAATGCACATAATGTGAGTACACAACTAAATAGGACAACCCTCCTACCAAACAACTAGCTTAGAGCAAGATAAAGCAAACATGGTAAGATCATACCCCATAATCTTGAACTAATTAGACGTCTATTCATGCAATATGTGAATGTATCACAGTATGCTTTGAAGATCATTGTTTCCTTTTTAGGTTGGTTGGGCAGCTACATCACGATCCAAAACCAACTTTCAAATATCCAAAAGTCCTTCTACCCTTCACGGCCACCACATTTGATTCTAACCTCTCAAATATTGTCATTATCTCACTCAATCAAAACCAAACTGATCCACAAAATAGGATAAAAGTGGGTAAAGTTATTTTTTTTCATTCATTTTTAAATGACGGTGTGACATTATTTTATTATACAATCGCTAGAATTTAAAAAAAAAAAAAAGTCTGTTATTGTTACCATCACCATTTTAAAGTCATTTTTAATAAATAATTCATTCCAGTTGAAATTCATTTATTCAAATTGGCTCTAAATTACTGCAGCCATTCCCCCCACCCCGCTTCAAGTTTATCTCATACAAGATGATATTCATGATGTTTTGTGAATCATGTAGAATAGATATGTTACAAACTTAATTGGGGGAAATTTGTTTGAGCTCGTTCTAAGATGCTAATATTTTACACTCATTTTTCTGTTTTGTTGCTTGATTGTTTGTTAATTTATTAAGTTAAACGGTTAAACAAAAAGAAAAGAAAAGAAAGTACGAAATATCTAACTTTCTGTAATTGTTTGAAACTAGTCTGAAAAATAAATAATGAAAATTGACCGTACAACGAGTTAAAATTGTTTAAATAGTTGGACCAAATCATTTCTATTATTTTTATTTATTTTTTTGTATAAACAATACTAAACAAATAAAAGAGGAAATACAATCGTTAAGAAAAGCAACAGGAACATAAATAAAAGGCTGAAAAAAAAAATCGTAAAAAGGTTGAAAAAACACAGACCTCAATAAAAAATAAGAATAAAATTGAAGCAGATGAGGACAACGTAAAGAAAAGAGAAGACGAGAGGAAAAGCAAACGTACATGTGATTTCCTGCTATGATACGTTTCATGTTCCGTCGTCAAGATTAACAGATACATCAGCTGCCATTTCCAACCACCGCAGAGAAAACCCACTTCCTCAAACTCTCGGATTTTGCTTTCTGGGGGAAAGTTTGGTAAGCAATTCAATTTCATTGTGCTTTGTTCTTAATTTTTCTTGCATTTTTTGAACATTTAATTTCTGGGTTTTCGTTTTTACTTCCAAGGATTATGCCTTTTTCTTGAAGGTTTCTGTTTGCCTGAAAACTTTATTTGCAATTATGTTTTGTTTAATTTTGAGTATTTCTGTTATTGTTACTTTTTGAATTATGATTAACTTTTGATGTTGATGTGAATTGCAGATTTCTTGTTAATTTCTGTATGCTTAATTCTGAGAGTTGAAGAGTTTGAAAAGGTAGGAAAAATGAAATCCTTTTTTTTTTTTTTTTAACCTTTCTACTGTTATTATTTTCACAATGCCAGAATCCAGAATCCGCTTCCATTTTCCTTCTATTTGTTTTTACTTTTTATGTTTTATTTTTGTCTGGCATGGATGATCACTTTATTTAAACAAATTTGATTTCTCCGTTTCAGATTCCGGTGTATTACATTCGCGGTTTTCTGTTGAAGTGGAGGTCTTGAATTCACTTTGGTTGGGATTATCAGTTTCATACAGGTTTTTGGATTTACTAAGATTAAGCTGATGGGAACTTTCGAGGCAGTTGTTCAAGTTTTTTGCGGTGCTGTACCGCGCTTTTGTAGTACCGATTCATGTTTTAGCAAATGCAGTCCTGCCATTTCTTCCAAGTACCACGGAAAATGTACAAAGAGAAGAGTCTCAAGAGATATGCAAATGCAACTACTCAGTTCCGGTATGCAACAAATTCGTACAGGAAATTATCGACTTAATGGGATAAGGAGTGGTTTGTTTGGAAAGATGACAGTAGGTGATTCTTGGATTCTGAGTTGCAAGTGCGAACAAGCTGAAAGTATAAGCGGGGCAACTACAAAAGATGAGAACGGAACATGGTTTGTGGATAGTACAAAGAAATTTAACAAAATCAACAATGTGGTGAATTCGCCAAATGGTTTGGGGTTTCAAGATATTCAAGAGTTGAAACAGGAAAAGGAGGGCTTGCCACCTAATGGAACAAATGGAACAGTTAGAGATGCCTTTCACAAGACTAGCATTGATTCCCTTGAGGATGAAGCGTGGGATTTACTACGTGAATCTATGGTTTATTATTGTGGCAGTCCTGTTGGAACCATCGCTGCAAAGGATCCTACCAGTTCCAACACGTTAAATTACGATCAAGTCTTTATTCGTGATTTCATACCTTCTGGCATGGCTTTCCTATTGAAGGGGGAGTATGATATTGTTCGGAACTTTATCCTTCATACACTTCAGTTGCAGGTAATATAGTTGTCTGGTAATAAAGACCGTTCTGTTGTGACTAGAAACACTATGTGGTTGAACTTTTGTGGTGGTAGTAATTACCAGTTCTAATCCCCAGTCGTATTTGGTGCAAGTATGTATTTGAAGTTTGTTTTAGTTTCTGGAATCAAGTTTATGGGAAACTATGTTGGAGCTAACCCTGCAATGTTGTCTAGTGGGTGGAATCGTCTATTGTTTTGTACCCCTTAAGGTTCCTCCTTGTTAAAAGTTAGCTATGTTTGAAGACATAGCCATTTGCCTATTATTGCAATGATTTTAGTGTTTACTGGAAACACTATTCCCAATTAGATTTGTGAGTGGTTTCTCTTTGGCTTTTTCTTTCTAGGACGATCCTTTAATGGGAACATAAAACATAGACGGTCTGGACTACTGAATGGCATTGCAGGATGGGGCTCACGTTGTGTGTCAGTGTGAACAGCATTCCTGTATGAGGATGTTTAATTAGACATCTTATCAAATCTTACTTTTTCAGTCTTTCTTCCACTTGTTTGTTACCACCATAAGTCATGTGTAAGTTTGTTGTTTGTACTTGTTATCCTAAAAGCAAGTGTGACTTCTTACATTTCAGAGCTGGGAGAAAACAATGGATTGTCATAGTCCCGGTCAGGGTTTGATGCCTGCTAGTTTTAAAGTTCGTACTGTTCCTTTGGATGGTGATGAATCTACAACTGAAGAGGTGCTGGATCCAGACTTTGGAGAGGCAGCAATTGGTCGTGTTGCCCCGGTAGATTCTGGTAATTTATTTACGAGGTCAAATGATTAAAGCTAAAAAATTATGTTTGCTTTACCACTTCTTACATTGGTGAAGTCTTCTTCGTACTTTATGTAATTTTCAGGGTTATGGTGGATTATCTTGTTACGTGCTTATGGAAAATGCTCGGGTGATCTCTCAGTTCAGGAGAGAGTTGATGTGCAGACTGGGATTAAGATGATTCTAAGGTTATGTCTAGCTGATGGTTTTGATATGTTCCCGACATTATTGGTGACCGATGGTTCTTGTATGATAGATCGACGTATGGGAATTCATGGTCACCCTCTGGAAATTCAGGTATCATATTCTTTTATAGTTATTTATTGCAGCATAATTGAAATATGAAAATGAAGGGGGAAAAAAACTAGTCAATCAGTCTTGTTGACAGTTGATCTCTTTGAGGCACTCTTTTTCTGAGTCAGTTTGTTCTAACTTCTATATTGGAAGTTGAAAATGACTATTGTCATATTGGGAATTTGATTGGGATTAGATAATTTTGCCGTGTCTAAAAAGCAAAGTAGAGTTTGTAGTAATGGGAAATGATGGGCGAGAATTAAAAAAAAATCAAGATTGCGGAAAAAGATAATTAATCTTTTGGATATAGTGATTTTCATAATTGAGCGACTCACATAATCGAAATAACAAATAACAACTTTCCACATACCCCAGAGAGAACAACCTGGACCGATGTATGTTTTCTTCTCAGGAAGGCATTGAATTCCACAAATCAAAGCTAGTCAAATAGTGCATATTTATGGAGAAATGGAATGGTTACAGAAGGACAAATATGAAAAAGACCAACTAATCAGAAGGCTAAAAGTAAGACCAAATGTTACTAATATTCTTGGTTTAAAGTGGGTGTTGAAGTTAAGGAAACTAGAGAAAAGAAAAGTTACAGCACTGTGTAGCTTCGGGGAAAAAGGAAAAGGAAGCAGTAGAAATAAACTTCTGGTATCTGTCATATCATATCAGAGAGAAATGTTCTTGCTATTGACATATCTCCGCAATGAGGGAAAATGTATAGTCAGAGACACAGGAGGATGGCATTAACATCCAATAATACTATGTTGGAAGTGTATGTAATAATCTTGTGGAGGTTTATTCATTAAAGAAGTTGTTGTGGTGTCAGGTCTTGCAAACATTTGTAGCATGTCATTCTTTTCCCACTTAGTCCTCTCTACTCCTTGCGTGATCACAGGGATGAATCTGAGTTTATTTGTTGGTCCATGCAGGCTCTTTTCTACTCAGCATTACTTTGTGCACGAGAGATGCTTGCTCCAGAGGATGGATCAGCCGATCTTATTCGAGCACTCAACAATCGTCTGGTAGCTCTGTCATTCCATATCAGAGAGTATTATTGGGTTGATTTGAGAAAATTGAATGAAATCTACCGATACAAGACTGAAGAGTACTCATATGATGCAGTGAATAAGTTCAACATTTACCCAGATCAAATTTCTTCTTGGCTGGTGGAATGGATGCCCAATAAAGGAGGCTATCTAATTGGAAATTTGCAACCAGCTCATATGGATTTTAGATTCTTTTCTTTGGGGAACTTGTGGTCTGTAGTGAGCAGTGTTGCGACAACAGATCAGTCACATGCTATATTGGATTTGATTGAAGCCAAATGGGGAGATTTGGTGGCAGACATGCCATTTAAGATTTGTTATCCTGCTCTTGATGGTCAGGAATGGCAGATTATCACAGGGAGTGATCCTAAGAACACGTAATATGTCTGACTTGGTAATAACAAACTTTTATTCGACTTTTGGTTTTTTCTCATACATTTTTTTTGCATATGCAGGCCGTGGTCCTACCATAATGGAGGTTCCTGGCCGACTTTGTTATGGCAGGTTAGTTATTGTTGTGTTGGGTATTTCTAACAGATAGATGAACCAAGAGCCAATATATCGACTATTGAGTTGAAATACCCATTCGTGGGGCTATATAGTATATAAGGCTGTTGCTTTGACCTGATCGGACCATAACCTCCTCAGTTACACATTGAACTTCTGCTATATCACTTCAATTGTTTATCAAATTCCCATTGAATCTGAATTTCATCCAATTATTGTTACATAGATATATATACTTACAATGACGTGACATTATAAATGCATTTCACAGCTCACTGTCGCTTGCATAAAGATGGATAGACCTGAGATTGCTACAAAAGCTGTTGAGATTGCTGAGAAACGGATCTCGCGAGACAAGTGGCCAGAATATTATGATACGAAAAAAGGTAGGTTCGTTGGAAAACAAGCACGCCTGTTCCAGACCTGGTCAATTGCAGGATACCTTGTGGCAAAGCTCTTGCTCGCTGATCCAAGCAAAGCCAAGATTTTGATAACTGAAGAGGATTCTGAACTCGTGAATGCCTTCTCCTGCATGATTAGTGCTAACCCAAGAAGAAAGCGTGATCGAAAGAATTTGAAGCAGACCTACATTGTATGACTTTTGGTACAACAATTTGTTACGATTCAGCACCAAGCCGATACTTCCAGTTGTCTGCATATGGGCAAACTATTATTCTGATTTCACCAAATTATGTCGGTGATTATTTGGGAATTGGCAAAGTGGTAAGATAGCGCTTTTGCTTGTTCCATTTATATTTCAGTTTGGGTAAGCTGATATATTTTCATAAGCTTATTCATCTGCTACTAATATTTTGTTGTAAAAATTATTTACTCCCAAGTCTCGGACTCATATTTACAGTTACTCACTTGAACCATCTTGTTACGTTGTGGAATCCACCGATGGTTATTTGTAAGTATTTGTATACATCGATGTAACAAAACGGAATAATGTTCAAGAGAGTTCATTGTTTTTAGCAGATCGTTGGAACTGGCCGGAGTGGATGCTCTGGTATTCGTCCGTCGTCTTTTCTATTTCTGAACCTCTGCCAGTCTTGTTTTTAGGTTGCCGGTACGCAACGTTCTCTCCGAGTAGTCTTCTTCTCTGTATTTTCTGGGCTTGCCCGTTTGTCTTCTCTGCCAATTACTTGTACATTTCTGCAATTTCTGCAGTTTTTCATGCTAGAACGTAGAAAGCAAAGCATATATTGACTATTTGAGGTAGATTATCACTATATTAGAGAGCTAATCACTCACTAGGCTTGATATTCATACCAAATCTCTTCTTATTTCTTAATGTACAAGCTATCAATTAGGTCCCTCCTTCCAACTTTGCTATTTTTGATCAAATTGAAAAATAAAAAATAATTTTGGGGTGTTCGAACCCCCTCGACTCCATAATCTGACATCTACTCTAACAAATCTATCATTTGACAAAAAAAAAAAAAAAAAAATTACATGCAAAATGATTTTGTTGAAAGCAATTTGAGAGTTAATTTCTTATTTTCAAGATTATTATATTGACATCGTGACCTGTTCTAATAAAAACACCAAATTGAATTGCATCTATATGTTGTTTAGTCAAATTTTACAACGGATGTCAATATTGTCCTAATTTGACACATTTTTAAAAGTTTAGAGGCCGAGTCTAATCTTAGATACGGACAGCGGTGACACGTAAAACTAAGCAACAGCTTGGTCAAATTCCGCCATGACATGACTCTTGGTTGAGGGGGTGACCATTATATCCATCCCATAACAAACAACAAAATATGCTACCGTTGTAACTTGCAACAATTTTTGTAACAATGGCTGTGCTTTGTCTGGATTGCTATGACGGTGCATCAGCGACGGCGGTGGTGGTTCCTCATCAATCAAGTAACGGCCATGAATCCGAAACCGCAGCATCACCGCACAGTAGGATCAGTGTCATTGCATCAAAGGCATGTTTGCTAATCATTATCAGGGTACCTAAAACTTATCAGTCCCAGCGTCACGGAGGATGAACATTAAAAACCGGAGCAGTAAAAGGAACGAAAAGAAGGCTTCAAACAACAAACTCACTCTCTTCCATTTATTTATACAGGAAATCATACAACAAGTTCAAAGAGAAACATTGTGTGTTTACGAACACGTAAAAGTTTAACGAGGACTTAATCGTCTATCACGTTGAAGTTCACCGACGAAACACATATTAAACGACATTGAATAGGCAAAACACTAAGCTAAGCAGCAGCCACAGTTTCTGCGGGCTTTGCTTCGGGTTCTGCTGATGCTTCTGCTTCCCAATAAGCAGTCTTCTTGCCAGTTTTGGAAACAGTTTGCAGCACTGTCTCGGGTGGTAAATTGCTTTTCACTGTCACCTTCTGAGCGTCGAAATCAATGTCATATGATTCTACACCTGAGGATGACAAGAATTAACATCTCCCATCATTACCAAAATAAACAAAATCCACAAAGCATGGACTCTAAAATTTTGTTAAAAGTTAGAACAATGATTACTAGCACGATTCATGATCAAACATACTTACTCCAAATCCACCTCTACACCTTGATTTTTAAATGGATTAATACGTGGGAATCGGGATAATACGCAACGCAAAAGACCACCTAGGGAAACAGGGACGATTTTCATGGCCTCTAAACCAAAGGTGAAGAAGTATACACCCAGCCCTAGGATATAAGAACCACAACCTATTTCTTCCTTTTTCTTTTGAAGGACACCGAAGTACCAGTGTACAGAGCTTCAGTGTCAACGTACACGACACAGATATATCGGACTTTAACAAGATGTAAGCATCCCAACACTTAACTCCACATTCGTGCGCATACTCACATGATTACATAGTTTGCCTATTGTTATAACTCATATACTCAATTGAAATATAATAGGTATTAAAGAAGATTCAAATGATATTCTTATGGTAGATTAAAAACGACTTGAGCACGGTACTGAAGAGTAGGCAGATGAACACAATTGAACCAGATAAACACAGGAGCTATAAACAAACCTTCAAGTTTGCCAAGAACCCGTTTGACGGCCCCAACACAGCCTTGGCATGACATACCAACCTTGAGGACTGTAGTGGTCTGCATCGAAAAACAACCAAAGATTGAATTAACACTACTGAAAAAACCAAGGAACAAACATATACCGAAATTCAAAGGACCAATACTATGCTAACATATCGGCATTTTAACAATAATTTCAAACTCTCCATCAATCTTCAAGATATTCTCTTCACCTCAAAAACATAATCAGTTTCTTTTGTTCCTCCCTATTTATGTAATTCATTTGAAAACCACATACCAAATCACAACAAAACGAATTGAGTAGCGAGAGACTGCTCAATCAATTGAATTTCTTTTCCTTAATTGCTTTTGATCAGAATAAATTCTTAGCTCTCAGAAGCAATAAGCAAAGCTGAATAACTTGAAAAACTGTTTTTATCTGGATAACAAGCTTAAGTAAATCAAAATTTCCCCTACCAACTAACCTAATCAAAAATTAAAATTTCTGAAAAAAAAAGAACAAGTAAAAGCATAATTTGCTACATAAGATATTATTCTAAAACAAAACGTAAAATTTAAATCAAACCCAACATTGGTTCAACAAATTTATGTGCAATCGCACCCAAATTTGACTTAGAAGGACCTTAACTTAACATCCAGCACCAAAACCCCAATCCAATCCATTAAATTTGAATCAAAATCCCAGATACAAAATTGAAATGAAAGGAAGAGGGTAGATACCTGAGAAGCCATATTAGGGTATTTGGGATTTCAAGAAAGCTGAGGAAGAATTGAGAAATTTTGTTATGAATTTGATTGGATGCTGTTGTGCATCTGGTCAAACCCAAATGGTCCTTTTATAACAGAGAATAAAAAATAAAAAGCAGAAAAGGAGAAGAAGACGATATGTTTCTGGCGGTGGAATCAACCTCGCACCGGAAAAGCTTGACCCGGAAAACGTAGTAACGTAACGTGAAAGCAACACCTATTCAATGAATACAAAGACGAAGGGAAAAAAAAAAAAAAACTTTTATATTCCTTTTTGGGGTTTTATATTCCATTTTTCTCTTAAATGAAAATAAAAAAGTTGTTTAATATTCCGATTTAGTGGTGGATAATAATATTCACACATTTATTTTCATCTCTCACATATATTTGTTAATTTTTGCAAATAATATTCTTCAATTCATTTGATCTGATAGCTGAAAATTAAGATGCGTGTGTGGTAAGTAAAATTAGGTATAGATAACACTACCTGTAATAATAATCTTCTCCATTTGTAAATGTTGTATTTGCAATTTCCTTTTTGGTCCAGAATAATATGAATGCATCCATTTGAGAAGAGTTATTCTGATTCAGGAGGAGGAAGTTTAAAATCGAAACGCAATGTATTGAAAACAAAAGTCATACTTGTCGAGACATTCCAGCACTTGCAAATGAATTTTTATACTGAATTAAAGTAAATATGTGGCATTCTGTATTTAGTTAATAAGCTATTATTCAATTACATTATGCGGGATTATCGATCTCAGAGAAAGTATATGGTTGTTGAAGCTACTGAACAACTTCTCTAGAAGCAGCTGGTGTTTCAAATGTAGCGAGTGCCGCGGGTTTAGGTTTAGACATGTCAACTAACTGACGCCACAAACAGTAGAAGCTTGCATGGATAATGGATGTGGCGATGGTACTTCAAGACGTTGCAGTACACAGTACAAAGCATCCTAACTAGCTTTCCACAAAATTGTACTACCTAGCTTATACCTTTCAACCCTAACAAAAATCGTTTTGTTTATGGTCCAATAAAATTTGTCGTATTTTTCAAACACATCGATATTTATACTACGTGATGAGGGAATTGAGCTGAGCCACACAACGAACCAGTTGTAATACATCGGAGGCTTGGAATTGTAGGTTTGTAGCAGTGTTTTTTGTCTTCAGCTTAGGTTTTATTCTATACAAGAAGATGATGTTGGTCCATGGTCTTTGTTTTTGGCTTTATCAGAGTTATTTTATTCATGCATGTTAACAAACATGCACCACCTCAAACCTTCACGGTGCACCATTAAACACCAATACATGTATTTTTAGGCTTTAATAATGCATGGTTGTTGACATTAAACATCGTTAAATTGAAACTTTTTTTATGATCTCTCATACCACCCTAAAAGCATTACTTACTACTTGATAGTTTTTTTTTTATTTAAAAAAAGGCGTCACGCGCTTAGGCGGCTTCGGAGTAGGTGAAAACTCCTTAGAAGTGGTCGAGGCGTGCCTTAGGGCGTTCTAGACATTTTGGGCGTTTTCTTTTATTCTTATAAAACTTCTCCTTAATCTTCTTCATTCTACACGAGTCCTTAACAGTCTCGCGCTCTTCTTCTTCTTCTATGTGAAACACTGAAACCCTCCCTTCTCTTTTTTGCGTGACACCGCCAACAAAGCAGCACCACCACCACCACCCAGCGAAGAGGGAAAGTGAGAGTGAGGGAGAGTGTCATGAGGGAAAGAGAGTGAGAAGGGAGTGTATGTGGACCATATTAGTGTTGTAAGATGAGTGGATATTAACGAGAGAGAGAGAGAGAGAGAGAGAGAGAGTGAGAGAGAGAGAGTGTGTGTGTGTGTGTGTGTACCGAGGGAAAGAGAGTAGGTGGGGATGTATGTAGATTATATTAATGTTGTAAAATGAGTCGATATTAACGAGAAGATGAAAAGTGAGAGTGAGGGAGAGTGTGCCAAGGAAAAGAGAGTGGGTTGTATTAATGTTGTAAAATGAGTGGGTTGTTTTTTAATATATCATACCAGTAACCAGACAGAGATACGGCAAATTCATCCAAATAAAATTGGTTGCCAAATGCCTCAAGAAAAAATTTCCAAAGAAGAATATACAATTAGAGGATTTTTTTTAATTTTTTTTTTAAAACAAACAATCAGAGGATCTTAGTCATTCGCAATTTGACTAATTAAAATGAAGGGTTTTTATCACAAATGGTCATTGAAATTGACCCTCACCATCAAAATGGTCTCTGAAATTAAAAATCAATCAATATAGTTCTAGAAAATAGGTGTCGCAAATTAATGTGGTTCTTCCGTCAAAATTTTGTTAAAAATTCCGTTAAGTACTGATGTGGCACATAAATGAGCCCCACAAGATTTACGGATCTTTACCACAAATGGTCCCTGAAATTGACTCACACCATCAAGATGGTCTCTGAAATTGACTCACACCATCAAAATGGTCATTGAAATTGAAACTCAATCGTTGTAGTCTTTAAAAATAGGTGTCGCAAATCAATATGATCTTTCCGCCATAATTTTGTAAAAAAAATTTGTTATGTGCTAATATGGGTTTAATAATTAATTAAAAAAATGTCTAAATACCTTTTTCCACAATGGAAGATTTTTTTTATTTTTTTATTTTTTATAGTAGGGCATACTCCGAAGAGAGCTACCTTTCATAAATTCTCAAAGGCACAAGGCTTAACCAAGGCATAAGAGGGGGTGTGGAAATTTCAACCAACAATGGATACACCTCGGTTATAACCTCATTATCTCAAGGCAGACCTAGTTGTTCTTTGCATCACCAAACCACCAAGGAAGCGGTCGAACATGCTTTCCAAGATTAAGTATGTTCCAGAAGTCGTTGCCAATGAGCCAAGCCGTTACCAAAGGTTATTTCGATCCAGGTTCAATTCGGTGAAGTGTGTAAAGATGGGTGTACTGAGATTTTTTTTTTAGAGAATAGAGAGCGAAAGGGGTATAGAAATGTGGACTGAGATCAGAGGTGATTGGAGGACTAGGTTTTTGGGTTGACAATTATTTTATTAACTATTAAATTATTAAGCCTATTTGTAATTTTTTTAAAAAAAATTAATTAGACTTGTGTGACCCATTTATGTGTCACATTAGCGCATAGCAAAATTTTTGACAAAATTGTGACGGAATAACTACATTGATTTGAGACACTTACTTGAGGGACTACATTGATCAATTTTCAATTTTAGTCACTATTTTGATATTGCATGTCAATTTTAGCGACTATTTTGATGTCATGGGTCAATTTCAAGGACCATTTGTGAGAAGGAAAAAAAAGACTTTATGAAGCCCATTTATGTGTCACATCATCACTTAACAGATTTTTTAACAAAATTGTGACGGAATGACCACATTGATTTGCGACACCTATTTTCAGGGACGATGCCAAAACTTAATTAGATAAATCCAATCCAAATATTAGATTTAAAAAAAAAAATTGGAAACAACTTATGGCAAGTCACGGTTACTGACTCCTAGAGAGGCTATAAAGAATTTCAACTTGCTCGTGGCCACATTCAAGCATACTAGTCAACTCAGAACATCGAATCCGAGACCTCTCACATGTTTTTATTTATTGAAGAGCCGTAATTCACGCCCTTACCACTAAGTCACTTGTTGTGATTCAATTCAAGTATTAAATTGAATTGGCCAATTTTCTATCTGCTTTGGAAATGTGGTCAAAATCCACAGCCTGTGGAATTATAGGGCTTATCATCGAGGTAAACGATATGAGCACATTTTTTTTTTTACTGTTGATGGGCCAAAAACTTTGACATTATAGGGCTCACTAGGTAGTGAACACCAAGGTCAAATTTACCACAAGGCCGAATGGCCCAAGGCTCAATATTATTCTAGGTGAGCTTCTACTTTACACAAAAAAGATCAAAAATAAAATAATAATAACGTTATTGACGTATTGGTGACATATAACGTCCATTAAATATGGACATTTCTCCCAACTTCGTTGGCGCTTTTGTGACTTCTGGCCCCTTTGGCACTTTCTAGTAAAAGCAGAAGCAGTGATCAAGTTGTTGTACTGCTCCAATTTTGCTAGAGTGCTAGATGTACAAAGTCTCATCCTTCGGTGGGCTCTCTCCTCCTCATTCTCTCAACTCTCTCTCTCTCTCTCTCTCTCTCTCTCTCTAAGTTCTTCTAATGAGTAATGTCAACCCAATTAAGAGTGAAAATATTCGGTATACAGAAATTTAGTGCTGTAATAGTAATCAACTTAATCATACTAAAAGTTTTAACATGATAATTTTTTGTATATGAATTTTGGTATGGTAAGTTCTCGTAAAATGGACAAATTATCTTTTTTCTTGCGAAACTTTGTATGTTGTTGTGGTCGAACTAAGTCACCACTTCACTTATTTATTAAGTTTTTTTAATTAAAAAGTAAGTAACAAGAGAATTTGACCAAAAAACCCTTCTTTTTTATTCCACATGAATGTAACATAAGCTGTTTTTATGCCACGTTACTAAATTTGACATCTATTTAACATATTAGACAAAATTCTTTCAGAATGAAGTGAATATTGAGTTTCAAATATAAAATAATGAATTTTGAATTATAGAAACAAAAGGAGATCAAAAATAAGTTTATGAGAACGTGGCTAAAAAGAAGCCTAAAAAATCAATAAAAAGTAGAAAGAACATATTCAATTCCTTGTCATCCATCTAACAAGTGGTATATAAACAAACTATTACTTTAATGAGAACATTGTTTTCCTATGGATTCTTACAAAGTGCTTGTATCACGAATAATGATTATGGTTGTCAGTTGATCAACGAGAATATCGTAATCGGATTGAAATGGCATAACTGTGCACATCCAATAGCTGGTAGTTTAATTTCATTGGCCAATTTATGTTACGTATTAGTAATGCATGGCATCAGGACCTTCCAATTTGACCAGCAAGTTGAGTCACCATACATGATTTGGTACTTTGGAAAGATAATTACTCCTGAAGAACCCCTTCAAAGTTGGCTAATTGAACACTTAGGTATGATTCACTTGTGCCGAAAGCTATTTGTTCCCTTCAAAATAATCCGTATATAGATATGCGTAAATCCACTTTGGCATTTCCTTTGAAAATAATATATACATATATAAAACCAAGCATACAGATTTGATTTCCTTGATGATAAAGCAAAGATATATATATATATATATGAATGTCTATATTTGGAAAAAAAAGAAAAAAAGAAAAAAGAATAACTGCAGAATATATGACGCATGACGCATAGATCCAATTGAAGTTGTGGATGCTTTCTTTTCATATAAAACGGTCTGCGTGTTCTGCTTATTCACCAAGAGTTGATCAAAGAAAACATCAAGCAAGCTAGCTAGTGAAGTTATTTAGAGGAAGAGACATGTCAAGGTCATCAAGTGTCATAACTCTGCAAGAAGCCGCACCACCGCGCCTTGTGCGCATGGAGCGGAGGCCTACTTTTGGAAAAAGATTGGAGACTATCGACGAAGAGAGTGAGAACGGAGGTCGCGGCGAGAAGCAGCAGTTACCTGGATTTGGATCGGCAAGTAACAAGGCTGAATTTTCCAAACAAAATCATGCTGTGGTTGCTCGTTGATCAAGTTATGAATAAGCATGACCAAGTATTTAAGTATTTTAGCCTAAAAAGTGGCAAGTGTACGTATGTTATTTGCAAAGCTAAAGTTGTTGCCTTTGGAGCAGTAATACATACGTATATGCTAAAGTTGTTTCAATACTACTCTCTCGAAATAATGAAAAAGGGGTGGAATAACAAAACAAATGAACATAATAACATTCGTGACATTTTCGAACAATAATCTTGTAGCCTAGTTGAGAAGCACGACACCATCTTCAAGTTTCGTAGGTGTCAGCGTTGAATTTGAATTTGATTTTCTGCGCAACACAATCTCATTGTATGCACACCAATAAAAAAGATTCGACGCCAACGTCTATGAAACTTGAAAACACTAGAGGAAAATTCATTTGTAAATAGATTTTAAATCGTGATCGATCTTTGGAACCCCTTAAAATCTTATTGTACTACTGCGCGAAGATTTCAAATGGTGACAAATAATGTCATATTATCATGTCAATTCGTACAGAAATTCTTTGTCTGGTTGCAGTTTTAGGGGCAGCTCTGATTGTTGATATAACTACGTACTTGCGCATAACCAAATCACGAATACAACTGATGAAGAGATGATTTCAAAGAGGAATAAACAGCATGCCAGCCATTCTGCGAGGGGTGCACCGTGTCCCAAAAGAAAGACCGTTCGGGATGACTGCATATGCTGTACTTCTTTGCTCCAGTACTCTCGTCCACACTACCGCATGAGTACTCGCTGCTCACCCCCACACAGCATGGTTTTAATGGTTCATCAATCTGGAACGTCGTGTTTCCTGATATACCAAGAAAGCATATGCTCAATCAACTACTTGAATTCTCATAAACAAGCATGTCACAGAACGCATAGATTATGCAGCAACTAAGATATTAACCAATATTCACTTCAGTTACAAGATATCAAAAAATATAAATCATACGATGACATGTAGATGAGACGTTGCCTAGTGCGCGTCGTCCAGTACCACGCAACAATTACTTGATCTAAAGTAGAGGAGGAACTGAAGAGATCGATGGTCAGCTACTTGGTGGTTCATATATCATGCATTGTTAAAAATGCCATACGTACTGCATTCCTTTCTATACAAAATTTTCCTCTTGTTTTTCGCATGATGACTTTTGTGGAGTGGAGTGTTAATAACAGCTCCCATTAAACACAGTTACGTACCTTGACGGTCTTTTGGGGGATTAATTGCAGACGAAAATGCGTCATAGAGATCCAAGATTACAAATGCAGAATTGTTTGACTCCTTATTCAACTGTTCCACGTTTTGGCGCAAAACTTGGTTGTGGAACACTGAAGCCAAGTTGAGCGATTCATTGCAGTTCTGATAGGAAAGAAAGGAAGTTAAGCGCGGAATACATCCCATGGGCTCTACTGCAGTAACCGCTATTTTTGGCACTCCCAAATCACGTATACGCCTCAAATCCACAGCAATCTGCTTAACAACCGACTTGGTGAACTCTGCCAAATCCTGTCATTTGGAGGAATATCAGTGCTGGAGTTAGCAGCAAGCCTCACAATCCAATATATAATTGTAGCCATGCCAAGAACCCTAAAATAGTTGTATACTTGATTAAAAAAATGTTCAATTTTTTTTAAAGCCATTAATAATCTTTGTATCACTTGTTTGAAGGAAAATCTCATTAATTAATCATAAACATGCAAGGCATTTCACAATGGTTTAGGTGAGTGTGATGTTTATATATATATATAAATCAACCATTGTGAGTTTGATTCGTATTATTTTATTGTTATAGTGGTGTGAGTTTGATAGGGGTGAGTTTATATATTTAATGCGGGGCATGTCTACTTCTGTATTTTATGAGTGATTACCTCTTTTTTACCCTCTCGTCATATATATATATGTGGTCACACTCATAAGTTCAATATATTGAATTTAAAAATAAGAATTACTCTCATAGCACTCGGATTTTCCGACCAACGGTAGAAAATTGATTTCTATATTATTAGTATCACACTCAATTTTCCGACTAAGTAACTAAATAGTATCACAAAAGCATGTCTTTAAAACATTGTAGCATGTATCACCAAAACGCACCAAAATTTAAAACCACACACACACATTATATAGAGTTAGGTTAACCACCACTTACCTCACTGCCATTGCCTGTTTTAACCATATGAGTTGCGTAGTCGTTCCCCGCAACTGACACGAGAGCTATGGACGATTTAATTAGGTCGCGTTTGGCATACAGTTTTTCTTGTTCAACTAGCCGTTGGAAAAAGTCGATTTGGGTGGTCAAGTTTGGTTCAGTCACCAACGTATCGAAAACTCCCGTACCTCCGTATGCAAAGTTCATTCCCTTCTCCACTTCCGATATGTTCGCAGATTTTCTCAATGCATAAGGAACTGGAGGTCTTAGACCCAAGTATTCAGCTGCATATATACATAAATATTAATTTCAACATATCATTAATTAGAAACTTAATTATTGATCTTTTAGTTTCATTTCACTTCTTGAAATTGGATTCGTCTCACTTTGTTCTTGAAAGTGCCAAAATCGAGCATTTCGCCCATTTCCGTCAATTCTATCTCATGAAAGTTTAATGAAAAGACAGATGAGACATTTCATACCATGCTGCCAGAGATGAGCCATTGTTGTTGACAAGGTATATTTTTAGACTCTATAAACCTCTAAAATTGCCAAATCTCTCCTAATGTGGGCGTAAATAAGGTGAAATAGCTCGATTTTGATAAGAGAATAAACTGAGACAAATTCAATTTCAAAAGAAAAGTGAGACTAAATGACAGTATCACAAAGCAATTCAATTAATAAGCCTTAATTAGAAGCAAAACTGAAATTTATACTACCATATGCTAGGATGCTCATTCATACATTATTCTATTTTCGATACAGCGATACATCTGCACTTAAAAAATAGAGGAAAAAAAATGGAAAAACTAAGCGAAAGGATTTCGAAACTTTGAACCAAAAGTCATATAATAACTTTAGGTAACGACTAAAGAAAGAAAAGGAAAAGAAAAAACTCAACCAAATCTTGGTGCAAGGCGCACGCCAACCTGTGTTGAGTTTTAAAAATAGTTAGTGTTCAATTCAATAAATAGTGATATTATCAGTGTACAGTTTAAGAAATAGTGATACTATCCGTGTTCAGTTTAAGAAATAGTGATAGTAACCATGCTTAATTTTCATAAATAGTCAGTATTCAGTTTAAGAAATAATGTAATACCATGTTTAGTTTCAGAAATATCCAGTTTAAGAAATAAGAGGGATAGGAGAGAGAGTATGTCTCTGTGATAGACGTGTGTCAGTTTTCTATTATTATTATTTTTACTTTATTTTTTATTATATTAAACTTTTATCATTTCACTTCAAAAAGACCATTATACATTCTTTATAAATGTATTTTTCTACTTAAATATAGAAAATTTAAAGTGCAAAATGAAAATTTGAAATACTAATAACAATTCTTTTCATGAAATTCAAATTTAGAAAGCTCGTACAAGTAAAAATAATATTAGTACACCGTAATAATTCTATTTAAATCTAAAGAAAAAGAGTCTTGAGTTGAGAGAGTAGGAAACCGAACCTAAATAATCAGAGAGCACACGACCATCGGAAAACCGGCCGGCTGGCTTTCCAGGAAAAGTGATCCCATAAGGTTCCTTCCATGAAGGAGACACAGATTTTCTGATATTCCCAGTATCAACATACGAGTCCCCGAGTACAAAAAATTTCACAGAACCATCATTTCTGAGGCGGTGATGGTGGCGGCGGTGGTGGTGTGCCTCAAGAACTTCTGCTACTACATGTACAAAGCATTTTAAAAAAAAACATAGTAAATATCCAAATTAATGAAAATATAATTCTTGTAATTGTGAAAATTCAATAATAATTAAGTTATTTGACTAACCAGCAAAAGCGGCGACACATAAAAGAAGGAGACAACATGAAGAGGCGACGGTGGTTTTCTTCTCCATTTCAAACCAGATTTTGGTGGAAAGGAAAGACGCTGCGATGAAATATATATATATATATATATATATATACACACACACACATATACATATAAATGTACTGTACTGAAGAGTCAAGAGCATTAGGTTTTACAGGTTAGAAAACGGAAAATTTGAAAAGAAAAAAAAAAGATGAAAATTCATATGATACAGTTCCAGATGCTCCATTCAAAATTAATTGACCTTCTAATTAACCTTATTAGTACATTTTCATTTAAGAAATTTTCCATTCTGTAAGGATGGCAAACATTTTGGACTTGTATGTAATTAATCCTGCAGTTACATAACATTTTCGACTTTATATAACCATTGCAAGCGGTGGATTGCTTTTTTAGTGATTAAAGCCTATTACTATTTTTTTTTAAAATTAGAGTAGTAATACCAGTTATATTTGTAAGTGCTTTTAAAATAATTGAAAACATTTTTAGACCACCAAGAGCGCTTTTGATCATGTTTGCTAAGACGAGTTAAAAATGCTCCGAAGGTTGAAAATAACACTTCCAAGTGCTTTTTGAAAGAAACTACTGTTGTATGCTTCTTTTGTAATCCCAAACGCTGTTCATACTAAAGTTATAAAGCTACCTAATATTATGGACTTAAAGAGAAAATTTTTGTGAAGACAAGTTGGATTCTAATTTATTTGAGTGATAATCCAAATAAACCGCCCTTAACCACTTTTACTCAACAATCCATTTCAGTTTTTTTGACCCGCAGAGAAAGATGTAAGCAGCTTCATGTTTTCCTGATCCTGCCATCTCTCCCTATTCAAAGATGGAGAGTTAGAGAAGTGGGATGGGAAGAGAATTAGACGAGAAAGATGAAGCTGCGTGTCAAAATACAAATGGATAGTTCGATACACCTTAACATAAGTAACATTAAGAACTCAATGTAATCCCTATAATAATTCAATCTATTTCTTTTGAAAAGTAAAATTGTTACTATCAAGTACCAAAGGTTAAAGGAATTCACTGTCGTACAGAATAATTCATTTCTCGGCGGCAAATCTCTCTATAACTTCCTCTCTCTTTCATCTGGTTGCTGCTGGTCGGGTCTGGCCCCTGCTACTGTATCTTGGAGGGCTAGTCTTGGCAACGTCAACGACTATCATCCAGCCATTTATGATCTGCAGGCAACGTTAACACAAAATAGGCTAAGCTTTTATCTTTCTCGAGGGTTACAAGACTAGGCCTGTGTGTTTGATTTATTGAGATTGGATTCATACAAAACGAAAACCATGTTGAAACTTGCCTTGCCGTTCATCTCTTGGAGAGCTACGCTAGCAGCTTCCTCCGTGGTGTATTCTATGAATGCATAACCTTTGGACCTTTTAGAAATTTTGTCCATTATTATTTTAACTGTTGAGAAAAAGCAGTTCATCAGCACGAGCATACCAATTCCAGGTAATCAGAAACCCCGTTTTAAGCTATAAAAAAAGGGTAGTACCTTCAACAAGCTCTCCATACCCTTCAAATGCAGCACGGAGGGTTTTCTCAGATGTATAAAACGATAGGCCTGTTCAGAAAGCAAGATCCTTATAAGGGAATATGTAATGAGGAAAAAAACAGCTACAAAAAGTTATGAATATCGAGATCTTATGAATAATTACGACGACTAGGGTACAAAGGAATCCTATTCAAATAAATGAATGTTTAAGACCAGAATTGAATTTGCAACATACCAGTCACAAACAGTTTCTTTGTCTTTGTGGGGGTTGTTTCACTTGCCGCTCCAGAAGTTGAGAGATTGGTAGAATTCTGTAAATTATTACCTGAGAAACACATCGCTAACTCATATAAATGTTTACAGTGGAAGATACTGTTCAATGACAGCATTGATGCCATCAAATAGAAACAGACCTAACCTAACAAATATTAAATAAAACTATAAAAAATTGGTTTCTTGAAAAGAAAAGCAAAGTAAATAGTCATGACAGTCTATAAATTTGTCCTTAATAATATTAATGTCAGTTTGTTTATAACCATTCATATTTTCTTCAGGAATCGATAACTTCGTATTCGAAAAATCGTATTCCACAGATGAAACAGAAGTACTTAATGTGACAAAGAGTCATATTCAAAATATCAAGAAACATGGATTTTCTACCACTTGGTAAACGTGGTATAACTGCTGCCATCATTTAGTGGAAGAAAAATCAGGAATGAACTTCATAACTTAGAAGATAACCACTGTCCAACGAAGGGTCAAGCTCCATCAAATAATCCACCAAGCCTCTCCAAATACTTAACATTGGTAAAAAATGAGCAACCAAAATAATTTGAAGAACACCAGGAAGACATGACCTGTTAAAAATGAAGCTCTTTTTTCACAGGATGGTCAGATAGCCTAAAATTTGTCGGTAGTAACATTTTCCTTCGGCTTTCTCCAATTGTTTCATCTCATTTACACCATTTTCTACCCATGCCAAAATTCAAACGCTTTATTTCCAGGACAAAAATAGTATGTGACTTCTATATTTTATACTCCCAAGTCATACATCTTAAGAACTTCTGTGAAAAATTGCTTATCCAGTCATCAAAGTCCCCAAGTCCTATTAATCTACATAACCTTTTAATTCCAGTCTCTTGGATAACATTACACTGACAGACTTAAATTGTCTAAAAGTATTAAGCAGTCACAAAACAAGTGCGCTATCATATTTTCCGCATGGACATAAGTCACAAGAAGAAGCAGATCTTAGGTTCAAAAGGCATTCAAAATCTCAAATCAAAAAGCAAAGTTCTTACTTAACAATGAGTTAGAAGATCTTATATCTAATTCTAAAATGACAACCACAAAAGATATTGTTCGTGAAAGATCATATCCAAGTTAGAAAAGTAAAAACCTCCATAATCTTTATTCTCCGACTCCCAATTCTTGTCAAGCTCAACAGATAAAACCCCAGGAACACCTGCAGCGTATAGGATCATGAGCAATCAAGAGGACAGGTGTATTAACACAAATGTGGCACAGAGAAATTAAGAGCATACACTAACCAGCAACTTCCTGTGCACACTCTTCATCAAGTTCACAACAGAACCCAAAGTTAGATTGCCAGGAAACATGATAAATACACATTTGTGCATCCTTCTCGCTACCGAAAAAATGAAGCACAAATTAGAAAAACAAAGTAGTATAAGAAAGGCAACAGCGTTGATGCTCATAATCCAATACTCACTTCCCCAAGACCTTTGTTAGTATTTGAGCATAATAATCCACCATTTGTGCCTTTGTAACAACCCCAATGCTGGGTTTATCCATTCGAACAAGCCACCTTTTTGTATTCAAAAGAGGAAACAACAAAGCACTTCCACTTCGAGAGGACGACATATTACTTGACCTAACATTTGGGGGACTATAATCCTTCTTTTGAGAAACATAATCCGGGTCAGGCTTAACCAACAAAACCCCCGGTAAACCTACAATAATTTCATCAAATGAATTTAGTCATTCAACACTGACTTATTGAGAACAACGAATGATCGAACCTCAAAAAAACTCATTATCTGATTAAACATATTATATCTGAAATAGTCACTCATTTCATCAAAACCACAACATATATAAAACACTAACATCTACTCTGCAGAAAAACCAATTCAATAACACATAAAGTAAAAAAGAATCGAACTTACGTGCGAGCTTGCAGGAAGTTTCTTCGTCAATATCACAACAAAACCCGAAATGGGTATCCCAAGACGCATCATATATACACATTTGAGCATCCTTCTCACTGAAAAAATCAACATCAAACCACAACTCAGGCTAAACTCTAAGCAGTACAAAAATAAAGGAAATAAGTTACGGCATACCCACTTGCCCAAAACGGTTCGAAGGGTTTCGACATAGTATTCAATAACTTGCTGTCTGGAAATCGCCCCTTGCGGAGGAGCCTCCATGAGCACCACCCAATGGCGGTTGTCGCTGGAAGCGGAAGACGAAGGAAGAGAAGTGGAAGCCGATGCTGTCGCTGAAGTTGAAGCAGCGCATGATGTTTGAATGGAGAAACAAGTGTAAGAAGTGAAGGAAAATGAAGGGAAATTGAAAGGGTTGTTGTGGGTTGGTGAGAAGGGGAATCGGAGGTTGGGAGTCGGGGCCTGAGACTGGGTTTTGGGAGGTTTGAATGACAATCTTGTGGATGCGATAACTCCTGCGTGGGGACAGAGAGACTCCATAGCCGACTAGCTGCCTGCTATGGAAGGTGTGTGACAGATATTATGGCAAGGGAATTGAATTAGCATTCTAAAAATTTCATCATGCCCTCGTTTATTTTCTTTTCTAATTATAGAAGAGCATTATTATTAGGATTCTAAAATTTTTATTTTATATCACAAATTTTTTATATTTAAAAAAAAACTACGTAGAATGAGATTTTTGAAATGCCAATAACACTTCTTTTATAAAAAGTTTAAATTATAAAATAAAATTTTTGAAATGTCAATAATAAATTCCAAAAAAATTTGGTTACTAGTTATTTTTCTCTAAGTGCAGTAGCACATCTTATAAAAATACGGGAGGTTCCAGGTTTAATATTTTGAGCTGATGAGTCTGTTTAATTGTGACCATGAGCATGATGAGATTTTCCATAATCTCTCCGAACTCGAAATGGGTGAATACCAGTTGCCCATTTAAAAAAAAAAAAAAAAAGACTGGGAAATCCCTACAGTTTTTATGCTAAGAAATCTGACGTAAAATTTTCTGTTGCAAACCAATTCATCATTCAATCATGTTTTTTCAAAATAACATTTTTTATCTTATATTTTTTCAACCCTGATAGTATGAACATTCACCACAATGCATAATCCAACTTTACGTTTACGAATTTTAAATACTACATAAATTTTGTATGGATTATATTTATAATTGTTAGATTATGTGAATTGATATTGTGTTATTAATTATCAGATTGAATTAAAATTGAAAAAAAAAAAATAAAAATTAGAAGTTGGATTTTTTTTTTTTTCTTTCGAAACCCAGCTAGCTGCAGCCTTTGAACCGCAACACCACGCGAGTCCCGAGTCCCGAGTCGCGGTGCACTGGAGCACATCCCGCTCCACCTGAGAACCCAAGAAAACGATGCCGTTTGGCGTCATCCCCAACCCAGAAAACTCTGGCCTCACTTGAAGCCGAGACCACGATTTTGCCGTCCCCTTTTTCTGGAAATCATGACCTACAGTCGTGCTCTTTTGGGTTTTGCACCATCGTCTCCGACGATGTTTCTTGTATTTTCGTTGAAATTCATCGAATTCGAGGATTCCCCATTTTGAATCCTCTCGGTTCTACCCTCTCCTGACGTCGTTATGTCGATGATCCTCCTCCGTCATTAAGATTGGTTCTTCAACGAACCAGCATGCAGCCATGATGCAAAAGAAAGTTACCACGCTGTTGAACTTTTGATTTATGTTATGTTCATATCTTGGAGGCAAGACATGACAGATGAACATGAACAGATATCCGGTGACGTCACGTGTCGATCTTCGATGTATCCTGGAATCTGGGCGTGACAATCCAAGGAGGAGAGCTTGAGATTTCACAATGAGAAGTTGTCGGTGGCCGAACGCCTTCGTTTATGAGGGCAACCGTCTTCAGGGAACCCAACAAAGCTCTCACCTTCGAGGAATTTCACATCCCTCGCCCCAAATCCGGTGAACTTCTCATAAAAAACAAGGGTGGGGAAGAGGATGCCCGTATGAATGTAGTGTTAGGAGAGCAGGGGAGGTCGGAGACGGAGAGGGGGAAGTCGGCGAGGAGTGAAGGAATAGGATAACAGAGGATTGGGGGTGGGCCCACAAAATTATTTATTTTTAATTAGTTTTAATTGTTAAATAAAAAATAAACAATTTATTAATTAATTGATTTTTGTTTCAGTCGGCAAATAAGTGGGTTCCACTCATGTCATGTCATTATTTAACATAAAAAGTTTAACAGAAATTTGATATTACATTCATAATTTAAAGTATAGTATTACATTATTTAAAATATGTGATATAAGATTATTAGGCGAATCAAAATTGAAATAATCTGGTATAATTTGCCAAAATATGACATCAACAGTGCAACAACCTTTTTTCTTATTAATAAAAAGAAATATAAAAAAAAGCCAAAAGGAATCAAAAGAGACACGTGTCACGCGAGAAAGAAAATTCACCCACTCGCAGAAACACACAGAATCCATCGTCAAACCCTATCTCTCCCTTGCTCTGCAATTCTATTCGCTCTCTCTCTCTCTCTATCTCTCTCTTTCCCTTTCTCGTTCCGAAACCTAGATTAACCCCCAATCTGACATGAAATCCAAACCCCAAAATCTCATTGGGGTTTCAGTGTCAGCCTCAGAGGACACACACGTCCTTTGATGAATTGTTCGCCTCCCTTCCTCAAACCCTAGCCTCGATTTTCTTTCCCCTTTCTCCTTTCGATTGCGCGTACTTGACTTACCCAGCGAGAGAGAGAGAGAGAGAGAGAAATAGGGAACGATCGATAGGCCATGGAGGGCTCAGTGGCGGAGGATCTCGGAGCCCCGGAGTCATGGGAGGTCGCCGGTTTGGACGAGGCCATGAACCGCCTGATGCTTTCCTCCAACAAGGATTCCAAGCCCCCGCAAACTCTCAACGACCTCCCGCCTCTGGTTTCCTCTTCTTCCGATGCTTCTGATAAGTTTTCTGAGGATGCCGTTAATCAGGTCGACCAGTTCCTTCGCGAGGCCTTGCAAAACCCTCGAGAGCGCCTATCAAGTAAGCCATTCGTACATCCCCTGACTCAAGTTCATGTTTTTGCTTCTCAAGAAGACTCGAGACGAAATTGAATTTGAATGTGGATTGTATTTGGGATCATTCGTTATAGTTTTTGTTCCATGATCTTATGTGGGTTGTATGCGACTTGTTGCCAGTTCTACATGCCTTAAAGGTTCCCTTTTGAAATGTATGACCTTTGTGGGGTGAATAAATCATGTCTGAATAACAGGAATGAATGTATATGAAAACGTAATGAGGTGCTGGCCGAACACTTCCATTCATAATTTGAGCTGATATAGTTTTGAGCTTGTATACTATCTCGGAAAGCTATAGAGATGAAGATTACTTGCTATGATATGCCTTCTAACTCATGAAATGGTGCTCCTTTTTATTTTATCTTTTAGTGCACATTCACATCAAGACAGCCTCAAATTTCATTCATTTAGCTAGTGTTAGTTTCTAAAACGGTTTAGTAGATCTTGAAGGTGAAAGAGTGATTACTAGTTCTACCTTATCAAACCTTGCTGATCCCGAACCTAATCAAATTGGAATGTTTGACATGAATTTGTGTGCAATTATGGGACAATTTGGTAGGTCGTCAGGGTTGAAGGAGTAGAAGGATGGTTTTTTGTTGTAATAGAAAAAGTGAGTCAGTTCTGGTAAAACTGAAAAAGGGAATTTTTCTCAATTTCCTATACAAAATTCTCAATGAGTGTGGTGAATGAACTGGAAGTAAACCTTAGTTTTCTTGCTATATTTTATCGTCCTCATGGCCATTTTATCATAATTATTATCCATCAGGATGTGCTGTCTTGTTTGGATTAACTACAGTAAACCCTATTCATAGATATCTTCTTGTGCAGTTTTACGAATGGAGCAAGATGTGGAGAAGTTTATCCGTGATCCTATTCAGCAGCAACTAGAGTTTCAGCAGTTGCCCACTTCTTATTTACGCTTGGCTGCACATCGTGTGGCTCAACATTATTCGCTTCAGTCAATGGTTTTATTAGATAATAATTTACCCGATGGCTCTGGTTCCAGAATTATTGTCCGTAAAACTCCTGAGTGTCGACTCCCTCTGATTCGCCTTGCAGACATCCCTGTTAATTTACCATCAGAAGACGGCGGTGTTACTAAGGTTGCAATAAAACAGAGGCCACAAAAACGGTCACAGGGTGGAAACAGTGCAAACTCAAACTCGTTAAAGGCAAACAGTGCTAAAAGTGTGGAAGAACGGAAAGAGGAGTATAACAGGGCTCGTGCACGAATATTTAACTCTAGTATTAGTATGAGTGGCAGTCCAAGTGGGAAATCAGAAAGTGAACCAAAACAGCAGGATACCCCACAACATGTACCCTTGGTAATGCCAAAGGTGGAAGATAAATCAAGTGTTTCTGATTTGCACTCTGGTAGGGGTTTAATTGAGTCGTCAACAAGTAGCAGTAGAACAGCTAGAAGTAGGCCAGAGAAGGAGCCGGTTGGGAGGTACAAACCAAATAATAGGGTAGCTATATTTAGGGATCGTGAGATTGACTGTAAGGACCCTGATTATGACAGGAGCTATGACAGGTATGGTTTACAGTTTCTGTAGTGACCATTTATTCTTCTCCCTATTTTTTTTTTTTAAAGAAAATATCATGACAGGAAAGCTTCTTTTTTTTTTTTTTTTTTTAATTCTTTTCTCCATTTGGTAATGGGATAATGTTTGTTTACTCTAAGAAAAGTGTTTGGAGATGAAATCCTATCTCATAATTGTTTTCATGGCATCCAGTTTTACTATGTGGGCAAGCTACCACGTCTGTTTTCTACTGACATGATTTTATTCATTTGGTATGCAATTGTTCCTCCAAAGTTGTTACTGTTTTTGAAGTCTGTCCTTTCATCCATTAGGTGACCATGATCTTTTTGTGTTTGGAGGCGAAATCTTGTCTCGTAATTGTTTTTATGGTCTTTTTCTATTTGCTCTGTTTGCTTAAGCTACCCATCCATTTCTTTTCTTTTTAGAAAAAACAAAACAAAACAAAATATGATCTTTCTATCCATTCATAATATGGTTCCTTATCAGCATTGCTATTGTTGTCAGTATTGAAGCCTGTCCTTTATGGTGACCGTGATCTTTTTGGATGAACTGGTCATTACATTGCTCAAACTCTTAAGCATCTAGCTTCTGATACTTTACCTCCTATGTTCATTTTTTAATCCAATTTTATCCTTAATGAATGCTACAAGATAGAATCCAACAAAGTTAGAACTTAAAGGTGTAATATTTTGTAGTCCCCCTAGTTTCCATGTAACCCTTACCAGAAAATTGTTCTTGAGCTTAGCTCCAAGTTTATTTGGTCTTTTCTATTTTATAGGTAACCAAAGTTTATGATTAAATATTTTGCAGGTACATGCAAAGATTTGATCCTCGGTTTGGATTCAGTGGTGGCCCATACACCATCCAGCCTATGTATACACCTGCATTGAACTACAACACCGAGTTTCCTCAACTTGGTTCTGCTCACAGGCCTCAGATTTCTACTGAGCATCAGCCTCGTCCTCTTCCACAGCATCTACCTGGGCCTTGGGTTCCACCATCGCCTCCTGCAGGAATTGGGTATGCCCATCCGGAGACCATAATCACACCATTCAATCCAAATCATGTTGGTGCACGATCTACATCTGGCATTTATCTACATTCATCCCAGTATCATGGTCAGCGCCCTGGAATGCCCTATGTCCATCCTCATGAACATGTTCACCAACCTTTTTCACAGGTACGTCAATTCAATAGCTATTCTCTATAGTCAATTAATTAGTCTTATCAATTTGTTGTCGAAGAGGTACTTTTAAAAGAAAAAAAAATCCAGCTTTTTATTTCCCCACTTTCCAAACATGGTTTGAGGTACTTCCAATTTGCTACTGCATTAGCACATTTCTGATTTGAGGGTGCTGGACAGATTCCTTTTATTTTTAATTTTTATTACAAAATATTTTGGTTGGCTGTTTCGCATCCTGTATTTGTAACTCTCCACCTGATCTACCTATCTACTTCATTGTAATTGCACAAGTGTGTACAAAACTCATCGTTATATCATCTAATGCACATCATAAGTATGCATAAATTGTAATTTTAGTGCAGTTGTGCATTTTTAGTTGATGAAATGAAAAAAAAAATTGTGGTGTTTTTGCTTAAATTCACTCAAGGTTTCTCAAGTAATAGGTTTCAATTGTTTTGACTGCTTGGAATATGGTGCTTATGTTTATATATTTATGTATTTATTTATTTTTTTACAGTCTCATCAACAGCAACCTGATGCAAGTTTTGGGTTAGCCCGGCCCCGGTGAGGGCAGGGGCTGTGCCTGCACCCTGCCTGCTTGATGTCGAGCATGAATTATAATGGGCTGCGAAAGCCGCACATGTTTCAGATGGCAGGAGTGCAGGCATAGGGAACCAAGGTGTGGTTGAGTGGATGGGATCATTTCTATGGATACAGACATCATCTGTTCCCCCCATTCCTTGGTTCCAACGGAAGCTTCTTCCATCAGTGATGGATGATGAAGAAGCTCCATGGGTTTGGAAATATATCTAAATAAGCTCTCTTTAGAGCTTTGCGACCCTATGATGACGAAGACAATTTAGAAGAATTCAAACAGAGCTGAGACAGTATGTCTCTGCTTGGATGAAGGTATGCTCTCCAGCTACTATTAAGATTCACACATTTGTGCACGTGTACACACACATGCCCAGAGTGATGTTTCTTGGACAATCCAACTTGTGCACTTGCATCACAGCCCGCAATTTAGATATAAGATGTTGAGGTGCACAGTTAGCAATTAATTTTCCAGTTTTCAACTAGTTCTCCTTGGATCACCTCACCTCACCTCATTTGCATATATATACATACATATATAATAGATTAAAGCTTAACCAAATCGTTTTGGGTTTTAGTATGCAGGCTTTGGTTACTTAAAGAGTAAGCAGCATTGATACGTCTCTTTGTTGTCTTAAAGCACGAATAAGAGCTAGAGGGAGTCTGAATTGGAGGATACTCTGAAACTATGCTTTTGGGAAGTTTGATCTGCATCCAGGTTGTTCTGACAAAAGATCTCATAGTTTAACTTTAATGCTTTACTTGAACAATCTGCAGGAAAATAAAAAAAGGAATTCTGCATCATGTATCATACGACACTTTGCTCTAGTTATTTCTTTTAATACAGTTTTTATTAAATTCATAAATATGTTGTAGCATTTCTAATACCCTTGAGGGACTGCTGTTGTGAAATTGTTTGCTATCTAGGCATGGTATTGTGAAGGCTACCATTTGTTAGAAACACTGTCCTAGTCGTTTTCTGAGTTCCATTGCAGTGCCGTTCTATGTATCATATGAATTTACAAGTATGTTGGTTGTGGCTACCTAAATGTTTGCATTAGTTACGAGTCGAGGCAGTGTTGGGTACAATAGAGGCTTATTCTGACGATGTGTACATGTTTGTTTTTGTTTTGTATGCCTTTACAATTATTTCAGTGGAAACATCAGTCCAGAGAAAGTTGCTGAATTTCTTACGGGGGTAGTAAGAATTAGGTTTCATTCTTCCCAGTTTATATGTTGTCTGCGCACTCGTACGAGAAGTATCTACAAATCTGTCGCCCACCACTTACGGTTTTAGCAAACCTTGTGCATGCTTGCACCGCTCTCTTCTCCCAGCTTCGTGTGCAACAATTTCTAGTTCAAATAAGCAGTTGTGGGAACCATATTGTAGTGGAGTTTTATTTCCGAAAATTAATCATGGAGGATGAAACGGTAGCTAATTTCGAAGAACGCTTTGAATTACTTTTACCCAAATTTATGAGGCAACATAAAAATTTACCTGTAAAGTGAAGCACTTTCTTGAGTGGATGAATTCGTTCTCGGGCATTAGGAGAATACCTATTCGGTTTTAGAACCGAAACAAAACAGGAAACAACCGGTCTGGTTTGGTTTGAACTCGGTTTTGGCTTTTGGTTTGCTGTTCAATATGCCCAGTTCATTCCTCTCCGCCTCACATGCAAAAGCATGGTGTTCTAAGTTCCTAACTCTCCTTTCGCTGCTGGCGGAATCTATCACGTTTTCTTTCCTCCTTCCTTGTCCCTCAAGCAACTCTTGAAGTTGCTAAAACTACTACACAAGTCACCCTCACGTGCATTGCTCACCTCTTCTACGTGCATTTCACTAACTTTATACAAGCCTTTCTTTCTCCTTCTCTCTCTCTCACGCACGCAGGCAGACACCGGAGGGAAGATCAGTTAAAGTACGTTAAAATCAAGTTCATATACACGAAAAAGGCAGACAAAGGTGAGCTTTGCAGATGGGTGTTGCTTCTTGGCAAGTTATTCGCATGGGTTTGGGGTGCTTGTTTTGTCCCCGTACACAAAACTACAGTATTTATACTCGAATACAAATTAGAATCTACATCTCTTCCCTCTTTTGATACTCTGCATTAAAGAAAACAAGGTTCGTTTTGCATCACCCTGTTTCCGACAAGTTTATTTCTTCTGCTCCCAGCCGAGATCATCTTTATTATCTATTTGTGATGACAAACCGAAAAGTATAGCATCATTTGTATACCATATATACTCGACATTACTAATCTGTTTCATTATTTCAGGGGCAATAGGCGCAAATCGGTATGGAGAAGCTCAACTCGCAGATGTATGTGCAAAACTGTCACATAATCCAACAAAATCAAATGCTAAGGAAGAAAGCTCAAGTGCTCAACCAAGAGAATCAGGCTTTGTTATCGGAGCTCAAGCAAAAACTCTCTAGAGGCAACTCAAAACCAAGCCCGAATTCTGACGTTCATGTTACTTCTGCTTCCTCAGATTCCACCAGTTTCAATAAGGGTTAGCCGGGCACACATATTTTCCTAGCAGAAATAATCCCCCCATCCTGCGCGAACTGTTGCAGTTCTTGTTACCTTTCCCCAAACAAAAAAAAAAAAAGTCTCGTTACTCAGCCCATCTTGAACAAATTTTCATTTTGGATTGAAAATTATGTGATGAAATAAATATTCTTGAATAGAGAACAGAATAATAAAATCAACAGAGTTACAAAATGCGACTTACGAATCTACATCCAGCTCCTTGTCTATGCTTGAGAAAGTTTCGTAGAACGCCTTGAAGTACTTGTACGCAATATCTATGTCTTCCTTCCCACAAATCTCTCTCACACTGCAGTTAAAGATGAAAATAAAGAAAACAACAGTGATACTTGGTGATAAGTCCTGTCACATTATATCTCAACGTATAAAGGAGCGCTAATACGCAGACGTACAATATTTAGCCTATCTTTTATTGTTAAGATAGCAAATGAACAATATTATTTCACTTTACTAGTTTAGTAGCTGACTTCTTTCGTTACACGGTGAGAGAGAGGCTCACTGTTGAAATAAAATGTGATGCAAGACTACTAGTACTTGCACCAATGGTAGTATCTTACTAATTAAGAAACATAATCCAACTAACTGTAGGCTATTTAAATTCCCCAGGTAAATACTCTCTGTAAAGGTTTTACGGAACTTCTCCAAAAGTCTGTTTTTCTAAAGAAAAAAGTAGTCACTCCCCACCCAGTGGCATTCAGTTATCTACCCATTAAAATATAATCCAATATACCAGTGGGATATTCTCAATCCTATAATCTACTATTTGTAAAGGTTTTAACAAACATCCTTTCAGCTAAATTGTTGTGATTAATAATACTAGAGTTGTCAAAAGATATGCCATGACATGAAAATATGAAATAAATGAAGCTCGGAGTGAGATCAATAATGAAAATACAGGGTCAGCTAAACTTCATAATTAAATATATCAGTCGGCATCAAAATTTTGAGATCACATTACTCTCTTTTGATACCTGTGCATAGAAAGCTGAGGAATGCCACAATCAACAGTACGAATGCCAGCCCCCGAAGCTAGTATGGGACCTATGGTAGATCCACATCCCATATCGTTTCTCACCACAAATTCCTAAAGGGAAAAAAATAAAGTAAAACGCTATGAGCTAAATTATTGTTATCTGAGTTTATGAGGTAAAGAGATAACCAATGAGGTAAACCACATTCTTTATTTACAATAATGTGTCAATGAAATCATTTTTATCTCATGACAATATGCTATAAATTGAATTCCAAAATAGGATTTATCTTTAGAGTGATGTACCTGATCTATTATGCCATCTTAGAAAGGAGACTAAATTAAAGAGGGATGAGAGTAAGGAGGCAGCTTTACATTTAGACAAGGAAATCCTTATTTTTTCAGCATGGAATTACTAGTTATCTTCGGAGTTTGTTTGTGGCGTGGATTTCAGTTTTTTACTGTAATAGGTCAGCAATATGTAAATATACTTCCAGAAAGTAATCTTCTGTTGGTTATTCAATAAAGGAAAATTAATAATTTTCTCTCCATGAGGATGTTAGTATAGTACATGAATAGCACAAAACATAAGGTCAGTTTCCAAAGAAAAGGGCAACTACTCTACTCAACTTATTTAATGCAGTCCAGCAGTAAATACCTGGGTTGGAAGGTTATGGATTTTGCCAATTTCTTTGAAAATGAAAGATGTGACTCCACTAGTAGCATAGCGCTGGTTTGCATTATGCTTGATAACTAGACCTTTTTGCATTTGTGGCCGATGGTGTTCTTCATGCTTGTCGATGAAATTTGGGTGTACTCCATGAGCCATGTCTGCAGACACTATTAAGAAAGAATCCCAAATATACACTTAGAAATCCTGTTGACACATTAAGAACAAAAAAATTGAACAAAAGAAGCTAGATACTGGTCACAAAAGAAGAAGATTAGCTTTGTAACAGTGTGACTCAAAAAACCTTTGTAGTTTGTTACATCTAACTGCACTGGTGCCAGGCAATACTAATGTCTTTACCTGCTCATGTTTTTGTAGGTTTGTATAAGCAGTGGCCCTTAAACTTTAGGCTTTCATCAAAGCCGTAACTCAACTTTCAATCAGATCAATTAGATCAACAATAATGTGGTGAGGTGAAAAAATCTTTTACAAATGCCATGAAAATTAGTGCATGTTACAACCTTTGTCAAACACACACCCAGAACATCAAAACCACAATCCTACCTACCTTTTGCAATTCCCTTTACAGTGCGTTTTCTTCAGAGTGGGTTGCTTAGGAATGCAACTCCCTAGCCGTCCATTTTGGGCAAAGAGAATAAAAAGGCTACCATTCACGTGTTTGGTAACAGTGGGAAATGGTAACCACGAAGTACCTCTTAATTCCATTCCAATGTTTAGTTTGTCTCTCCCACACACACAAACACACAAAAAGGTTACATAACAATTTACAGATTCCTGAGAATGTGCTTACAAGATATAGGAAAAGAATCTCAAACCCATTCTGTGTTTTGAATCTGCAAACCAAACTGTAAAGCTAAATGAAAAGAAAAGTTCAAGATAAATTTTGAGAGAGAGAGAGAGAGAGAGATTTATGAACTTCCAGTGGGAAAAAATCTCATAAAGGTGTGACTCAATCATACCAAGAAATGATTGGCGAATTGCACGCTCAAAAACACCTTCGCCAACATACTTGTCAGCTAAGCAACTAATTATACGTCTCATAGCCTGAAACATGGTTGGTGCACCAGCCCCCTGAATTGAACCTGAACCAACCTAAACAAGAAGAGATGAAGATACAATCTGTGAACTGGCCGTAACGGCAAGAGAAAATGCACAAGTAAGATTACCATCATCTATAAATACAACATGAGCAATCCTTGTAGAAATACGAACTATCAGAATGATACTAACAGACATCTGACAAGCAGTGATACCTGGTGTTATTACTATAACATGCTGCTTACAAGCTGGCCAGTCCACAACACCACATTCTAAATAAGTAACAAGATAGAGTGAAGATATAATATTCAATTGTGAAACTTTACAGAAGAAAGTAAACACTCTCTTTCCATAAAGTGTGGTATGTGCGGTCATGCCACACAAGCATTTTAATTTTGTGGAGGTCATGAGCGTTGTAGACCATCGCAAGTTGTTGAAAACGTCAACCACACGGTGAAGTTAATGTGACCAATGACATTGAGGGGCATCACAAGAAACATACTCTACATGGACAAATTATACATACTATATAGAGGGAGATTCAATTGAGGGATCCCTCAAATAAGCTTATTTGAGGGATACCTTTGCAGGGTACACTCTGCATTTATAAGAATATATGTTTATACTTCGTAGTCATTCAAGAAATTTTACATTGTCACAATGGCAGATAATGACAAACTAGTTTCGCATAAGAAGGAGAAGATGTGAGGCACAGAAACTATCCTTAGAGGCATATGAATACAGAACATAAATTTACCAGGATCAGGATAAAGGAAAATTCATGCTGTGAGAACTTCTGATGAAGGAAATACCTCTTCATTGTCAAATAAGGCAACCATTCGTACCGCATGTTCACTTGCTAAATCACCAGGTGACTCACACGAATCAATGAGAGCCCTTAATGAACAATAACTTGAGGCAAGATTATCTAATCTTCCTGAAAAAATAAATTCATTGTTTCCACCTCCAAGGCAGCTTGGTTGGGTATCACAAATATTCAACTCCAAACTCACTATGTCGTCGATTTTACAATGGATCTCATCTGATAAAACCTGAAAATCACAGCTGTGTTATAAAAATATGTCTTGCACCCAAAACAAGTGCACCATTACCTTAACAATGACCACAGAAATGGATAAATTCAAAAGTTACAATGTTACATAGAAACATAAGAGTTCACTTGTGCACAAGATGCGACCAATAATTCATATAATACATCGATATATATATATATATATATCTGTGATTCTGTGATATAAGTAAAAAATGAAAACTGGATCATTCTGGTCATTTGATATCGAAATACCCAAAATACCACATCAAACGTCATAATTTTACATCATCTAATTCTTTATAGATAAATACCACAACTATTTAGTCTCATGGTTTTAGCACATCTACTCTCCAGAGATTAGACAGTGATGTAGACTAAATGTCTTATCCTAAAATGATCGGAAAATCTTTTTACCTCTAACAGTTGCATTAAAACGATACATAAAAGATGCATTCCCATGTCCAAAACCAGTGACATTGTTATGAATATAGTAATTTCCTGCAATGTCCTGTTGCAAAGATACCTTTGTATTCTACCAATCGTGTCCAAAAAAAGATAGAGATTACTGCAGAAGCACTGATGATGTACAACTCCGATAAGCATTGCAGTACTGCTTGCTTTTTCCAATTCAAATGATATCTTTTAATTATTATATTGAATAAACACTTGAAAATTGCGAAACAATATGCTTTTAGTCTTTTAGATTAACATAAATAAGCTTTTCTCATTTTCCAATTATAGTCACATTACAGAAGATACATGGAAATTGCAAGCTTACATATTACCCAAGCTGCAAACACTAACGGATAGAATATCCCAGCCTATACTTTTCAAAGATACCTTTGAGGCTTTAACAACTAATCGTGGAAAACCAAACAAATACCTGCATGAGCAATGGATGATGATCAGCTTTCGAAGATGTTGTGGCACTTTTCTCTTTTGTCTCCAGAGATGCTTCTTCTAGTTTGGATGCCAGTAAAGGAATAAGTTGGGTCTCTACATTCGGTTTAAATCCATCCTTGTTTACTGTGCTAAACAAGCAAACGGAAAACAGTAAGATGATCTGCATGACAAATAGCTCTGCTAGAAAGCCTTAAGACTAGTCACACACTACTTCTAAAGTTATAAATCACGATCTCGCTTCCACTATAACTACTTAAAGCAAAGTTATTGAACTGTCTTCCAATTGACAAATAGCAAAAGTTTGTACAACTCAAAAACTTAGAACCAATAAATTTTTTTGGTTCAAATGTATATAAATATAGTATTCTTTAAAGTTGAACCCATAACTCAAGGCCAGTCCTAAGATTTTTGGGGCCCACGTGAACGACATAAAAAGAGGTCTCCATAAGCACAATCCAAAAAAAAAAAAAAACCAAACTGAAAAGTACTACACGTTGCAGAAGCATTTTCTAACCTGTCAAGGTGAATGGCCAGTGTCGGTATTCGTAACAGAGGTCGGTTCACTTTGACAAGCTTATGCAAAAAGGAGCCTGTGCTGCCTCTCAATATCACCCTGCCTGCCACACTTAGGTCTCTATCAAACCAAGTATGCCAGAGACCACCTCCATATGTCTGCACATTGATCATTTGATAACCAGACTTGGATGATGCAGATCTTGGCTTTAATTTTAGACACGGACTGTCTGTGTGTGCAGCAATCACATGGAAACCATTACCAACACTATACCTGAAAAGCTAAGAATAACTTTTGATTAATCAAGTGCCAATCATGTAGAACTACAAAACTAAACCTAGCCACGAAAAATGAAAAGAAAGGAGTGACTTGAGCTGTATACGAAGCAATAAACGAAATTACAGGCATTGGGCAGAGATTATATTATTATTATAAAAACAATTCAATGAGAGAAGTGATGGACAATCAATGTCAAAAGAAAATGATGGGCACACAAAAATCCAGAAGTCAACAACACTGGTTACACAATTAGTAAACCTGCGTCACCCAACTGTAACTAGTCACATACTCAATGAGGTTAGGAGCAATGTATAGTTGCTGATGATTTTTAATCCATTATCCTATTTTTCAACTTGTAGTGCTGTTTCACTCACTTCTCTCCAACAGCAAATGCAACCAAACAAGACATATTCCGTGTAAAGAAGTAGCGTCCACCAGGCTTCAGGTCCCACTCATCATTCTCACTCAGCAATTGAAAACCAGTAGCAATTAGCTGTCTTTTCGCTTCAGCTGCAAAGAAGACCAAATCCTATCAGTTCCTCTTTCTTCAAAATATAAGCAATCATCAGCCTCATAATTCGATTAATGCTAATACTTAACAGTTAAGTCATATATAAACCCTTAGGGTTAGCCCAAGTGGCGATGGTGGGTGGGGATACGGGTTAGGATTGAGCTAAAAAACTAATTTAATCTAATGGAGCGGCACTTTCAAGTTTCAATAATCTATTTAAGACTCAAAATTGATGAACTTGATTTGCTTTTGAGCACATTGCGATTGTTTGAATTCAAAAGTAAATATTGTCAATTAAACTTGGAATCTCGAAAGCATATCTAAAGACCAGTTTTTCTTATTATCCATATCCTAGCAGGTGCACATGAAAATGCCACGGAGTTTATATTGTTCTTTTATATTCCCTTCCTTCCCCTAATTTTCCCAGTAACCAAACAGATTCTTACGAATAAATTTGTCATAAAATACACAAAATAACATAAAATGATAGAGTAGTTAGTACCGGTAGCATGAAAGTGAGTCCAAGACTCGTTGAGATAATCGAGCAGACCCCCAACGATTGAGGCATTCGCTCCCGCTGCAGAAACCGAGCTCTGACCCACACCACACACAAGACAATCAAATACATACAGTTGCATATCATCAATTGTGAAGAGAGAGAGAGAGAGAGAGAGAGAGAGAGAGAGAGGAGACCTGAGGGAGATGAGGGGAGTTGGAGGAGCAGAGGATAGGAGCGGTGGAGAAAGTGCGGGGGCATGAGCGGCGGAGTTGGTTGGGGTAGGGCTTGGGGAAGAGTACGGAAGGCTTGAGGGTGAGAGGAGAGTGGAGGAATTGCATTTGCTGCAGTCGAGTTATCGCTGCCATTTCTCAAATTTCTTCTGGATTGTGGACTCGCAGCGCCAGAGTGGGTGTGCCTTACTAATCTTTCTCGTTTTTTCTTTTCTATTTAAACGGATACGATTACGTTATTTAAAATCCTAAAAATCCCAATACGTGTTACCATGCTGTGCATTTGACCATTGATCCTGTGTTTATTGAGCTTTCGCTCAAGCTATTATTGTTGAGTGTCATTCACGTCGCATGCGTCGAGAGACTAACTTTGCTTTACGTAGGTGATCGAGAGACTAACATCGTACGTTGAGAAGGAGCTCGTCATCAATCATTAAGAAGCTTAATTTCTTAGATGTAGCAATTCTGCGCAGAGCTAGCAATTCTTTCATTTTCTTTCCAAAATACCAAATTTCAGTTTTTTATTTAAATATTTTTATTCAATTCTTACTAATAAAAAAGGTGAATTAAACTGAAAAATAAAAAAACCGAACCAAATCAAAACTAAATAATTTCGGTTTAATTTTCGATGTTGGCAAAAAAATAAAAGGTGCGAATCAAACCAAAACAACCCCGAGTTCTTAAGCCCCTTCCTCCGTGAATGGAAGAGTAAGATTCTCATTTTCTTTTTTTCTTCTCCTTTCACACTTGTTTTTATAAAAAAATTAATATAAAATATTAATATAACTTAATCGTTTTAGTAAAGAAAAAAATAAGTGAGACTGTGAGGAGACAGAATCCTCCTAGCTCAATGGGGGCACTAAACTTCCTCTGTGCGTCGCCCGTGTTTTTCTTTCTAATACCAAAAAGAACATAAGGATACCCTTTTTGACTTGTGCGGTTATTCCCATGGCGGGAACCATCCAAGCCCTAATTCTCACACCCCCACCCGCCCAAACGCTGCCGTTTGCTCACCGGCTTCCTCATTTTCCGTCCAAACATGCCGCGTTCCGCTTCAATCATCGACTTAGCCGCTGCATTTCGAACCCCGTCAAGGCCTGCCAACACCCCGATCAGGTTCTCTTGTTTGAGCTCTGTTTGGTAACTCAAAACTAAGAATTCTAATTTTTGCTTCGTCTTGATGTTTCGCTGTGTAACTGGACTTGATAATTTGGTGCCTGAACTGAAATGTTGCCTAACTCTCAGTCAATTTAAAGAATTATGAATGCTTTTTCAGAAAGATGGTAATGGAAACAAAGCTCACCGGCATTCGGGTTCGGTGAAGAGCTTGAATTGGGCTAAACCCTTGTCGAATTTTGTGGCGAATAATTTTCTTCCCTTAGGTGTTTCCTAACTCTATATTTGGTTGAAGATTTTGTGTTTTTTTAGCACACATTTCATGAGTTGTGATGTATTATCTACTGATATATGTTTGTTGTGTAATACTGTGTGCAGCTCTTGTTGGTGGAGTAGCTTTAGGGATTGCAAATCCTAGTTTAGGTTGTCTCGCTGATACGTATTCTTTGTCAAAATTTAGCACATTTGGGATTTTTATCATCTCAGGTTTACAATTCTGCCTTTCTCTTGTTACAGTATGTTTGATGCTTGTTTAGTTTATGCCGCTAATTCCGCTAATTATGGACTAATTTGTTTGATGTGATTACGTAGGGTTGACCTTGCACACTGGAGAAATTGTTGCAGCTGCAGAAGCATGGCCTGTTGGAATATTCGGGCTAGTATGTTAACTCTAAATTGATTAGATTCAGATTATGAAAGATTGATTTAGTACATTTCTTATACAGCATCCATTTCATGGTCATGTGTCTATAGAAGTCTGTATTTTATGTAGTAAATCATACCATGCTATTTCATTTATGTAAGTACGTAGTATGCATACCTCATGTGGATAGCATACTTCTGATTTTCACCGATATCAGTTGATTCATACTCTTACAACAAGTTACGTAGTCTTATATGTACGCATATCAATGTAGACTGGTGAAAAGTTGTTGGGGCGAGATCTCATAAAAGAGAGCTCATTGATTTTCTTTTGTTTCTTTAAGTTGTGGGATTTAGTTTTTCTTTTTCTTTTGCTAGCTGATATGTGATCATTCTTAAACTGTGATTTTTGGATACCACTTGCATTTACCTTTTATTGATGCATTGATGCCGACCTAACCAATATTTATCATATTATTAATCCTTGATCATTTTTAAACTGAGAATTATGAATATCACTTCAATTAGCCAATCTGTGATCTTATTGGTAATAGTTTTCATGGTTCAGGTCTCCATTCTATTATTTACTCCATATTTTTCGAGGCTAATATTGCAACTGCAGCTCCAACCTCAAGAGTTTGTTAGAGGTATGCCATTTGAATTTGTGTCTCAGATCAGTTATAGTATCCGTTAAGAGGGCAGATGTTATCTAAGTATTGTTGCTTAAAATGCTTAAGAAATGCTGAATCAAATTGCTAATAAGCTTTGTGCCTTTTATGTATAAAGTTCATAATGGAATTTGTATTCTTTTAAAAAAAAAAAAAAATACATGACACTGTATACCTCCATAATAATAAATAAAACAAAACTAAAAAAGCCAATGAAAAGTTCCTAAAAATTGGCACTCCAATCAACTAAGGTAGCCCAATCAGTAGTGTTAAATTAGATAAACCAATTCATCTAAGTAAGCCCAATATTTGAACAGATATTTGAGATTCTGTAGGGAAAACCTAGCGAAACCCACCAAAATTTCAAGTGCTGGCTTTGGTTCAAGCTACAGAACTGTCCCTCAAAATTTCCTAGCAAACAAGATAGAATTGCATTATGAGTTTTACTCCGGCTCCATATTACGAATCCTTTAGGTGATTGATTTTAGGGTTTAGGGTTACTTATTCCTACTAAAGCTTAAACTCAAAATATTATGTGAACCTGTTTCTGGTTGCTTGATTTGAAAATGCTTGTTTTGTTGTGTGAGTTAGCTTGGGATTTACATAATGGTGAATCATTCCTCTTTTATCTCTGAAGCTTAATTTATAAACCATATAGAAGTTTCTCTACTGTTTCAGGGCTTGCACTATTTTGCTGTATGCCAACCACATTATCAAGTGGAGTGGCGCTTACTCAGGTATGCTAATTCCTTTGTCTTTGATCTTATTTGAACATTTTCCATTGTTTTGCTAAGCTTTTTGCATCATGTACTAGGTTTGGGGCTTAGCTAAAGGTTTGTGTTATTTGATGCAGCTTGCCGGAGCCAATTCTGCCCTTGCTCTTGCAATGACTGTGATTTCTAACCTGTTAGGAATTTTAATTGTGAGTTTGAGAGTCCCCTGTACTCTCACTTTTATCGTTTCATTTACATATATATTTGGTACCAGATTGTGAACAGAATTTTTCTCTGTATGTCTTGCAGCAATAATTTAGTGCTCTACATGATCTCGTTAAGCATATGCTAATATCGTATTCTTCTAGGTCCCATTTTCTATATCAAAGTTCGTAGCTGATGGAGTTGGTGTATCTGTTCCGACTAAGCAGCTGTTTAAAAGTCTCGTTCTCACATTGTTGATCCCTCTAATCTTGGGGAAGGTAATCAATTTTTTTCTTCTTCTGATACTGTCAAGAAAATGCCTGTCATTCAGTGTTTCGAAAAAAACCGACCTTTTAATTGGTAAACATACCTTCAATAAGCATACATTTGTGTTATATTCATTTTTCTTATGGCAGTGTGTGAAAGTAATTTTAATACATTTCCGATAGTTGTTAATCATGAATATGGTCTTTTTGATTTTGATGTCAACACTTCTATTCTATCCTCTGGTGTTTTATTGCTTTCATACTTACTTCTTGTTCCTTTCCTTAAACAGATTTGTCGAGAATCCTTCAGAGGTGAGTATTCCATATTGGCTTCTCTCTGTTTCAGGTTTTTTTTTTTTGTACTGTATGGAATCTTTTTTAGTAAGTAAAAATATGAAGCTTGGGAGGTAAATGGCATTTATCACAGAAGTAGCTGGTTTATGAGTACTAAAATTGAGGCAGAATGTGGATGAATGGATCAGTCTCATTCTAATTAACTTGCTTATTTATGTACAGACATACATAATCAAACACATACATTATGTACAGGCATACATACACGAATATATACACTGAGCACACTGTATTCATATAAAAAAAAAGTATCCAAACTGTGACCCAGCACCCTAGTATTAATTATATGCTTAACATACTATACTAGAATGGAGATTCCACACTTAGTCTCTGAGTTTTTAGATGGGCAATAATTTTAATAACTTAAATTTCTGGAACTTAAGAGTCTACAAAAGTCGTTTACGAATTAAAACTACTCAAAACTTACCTGTCCTACTTAGTGACGAACTACATAGTTCTTAAAATTTTCAAAATCTTCACTTGATTGTATAAAAAGTCTTCCAAACATTCTACTCTTAAAAAGAGGCTAAGAATCAGTAAGATTCTTAACATTTGACATTGTCAAGCCAAAGGCCTGTTCCCACCGGCGAAGAGGACTGGAATTTTCAGCATTGAATTTAGAGATATCCGTCTACATGCATCGGAAATTTCTAAGGGCTATCTCTGACTTTCAAACCTTAGCCTCAGAGTCTATGACATACCAGACACACTCAGTTGATAGGGATCCTTCTGATTGAAATAGCCACAAATCTAGCCTGCATTTGGATATAACAAGCAGTTTGGGATGGTTAACCTCTTATTTAAACAAGCAGGATGATTTCTGAGATTCACATGTGCTCACTCTTTTTGTCATTTCTAAGTGTAAGCATTGTATCTTTTGTTAATCCTCATTAAATGTGTATTGCAGGTGTTGCAGACTTTGTCGATCAAAACCGGAAGCTTTTTTCTAAGCTCAGTGCAATCTTCCTCAGTCTAGTAAGGACAATGCCCTGGTTTATATAGTTTTTATTTTCTTAAATAATTATAGTACAGATCCATGCTGAAGCTTTAATTCAAAATTTTGGGCATGCGTCTGGTCTTCAATGGTACTTGTAAGACATCTTAGCTTCTTTTAGTTCAAACCCTTTAGCGTACGGATCATTGCTGAAGCTTTACTTCAAAAATTTTGGGAAATGTGTCTGATCGTCATTGGTTCTTGTAGGACGTATTTGTCTCCCTTCATTTTTAAAGTACAATTGTTGTAAACTTGTAACAGCATGTTGGTTATTCAGGTGCCATGGATACAAGTTAGCAGGTCCAGGTCACTGCTGTTGATGGTTAAGCCTCCAGTTTTTCTTGTGGCTATTGGAATGGGAATGTATGAAATTCACCCTATGTCGTCGTATTTTTCTGTTATCACTAGATTAATGCTTTAATATAATAGTAGAAGTGCCAATTTGTGCTCCTTTAGTTTGTTTTTATTAAGTTTCTTTTGGAATTAACAATTACCATGCATCCAATTCTTGGACTTTATATTTACCATGCATCCAAATTGTGGAATTGATATCATAGACAGATTGTAGAATTGATAAAAAAAAAAATAATAATGATGTGTAATTTTTATATGTTCTTAGAATGTACTCCTTGTTGAACAATGTGTAATTTTGTATGTTCTTAAAGCGTACTCATTGTCCAATGATGTGTAATTTTTGTTAGCATAAATAAAAGATTTGTCTCTTCTAAACAATAATGAATCCAAAAAATGTTACTCTCTGATCTTCTGATTTCCTTTGTATGCAATATCTTTAAATCCCACTGTGTGTTTGAACTGAGTAGATTTGTTGGACATTCTTTGTCTGAAGATGTTCTAAAGAGCCAGCCTATTATGGGTGAGAAAAGCAAAATATGTGATGAATTTGAATTTCGCATTCTCTAGATAGGCGTCTTAATAACTTGATGGGCTGAATGCATTGACATATGTTGAAAAAATGCATGTACTTGCAGACTTCTGCACATCGGCTTGTTCGTCTTTAATGCTCTTGCGGTAAAGGGCGTTTCAGCTCTCTCTGGTGGCAGTCGATCAGTGTTTTCCAAGAAAGAAAATGCCACTGCAGTTCTCCTTGTTGCAAGCCAGGTGAGAGACGTGTGTACATCTATCCTCTCAAGCCCTTGCGCATTTCTTTTTCCTTCTGAACTTTTTTACTTTCTCTGACCATTATGAAATATGTTTGTCCTCCAACTGTTGAACTCCCCATCCTTGGTGAAGATGTGACTTGATCTGGGATCTCTTGTAGGCCAAATTGACATTTAATTTAGGATAGTTATCAACTTTTTTCTTGGTAAGAAGCAATGAACTAGGAAGATTTGTGTACGGCTTTTCTTTAATGCTATTGACGAGGCTGGCATTCTTCTGGCAGAAAACTCTGCCCGTAATGGTGGCTGTTGTTGAGCAACTTGGTGGTGCGCTGGGAGAATCCGGTTTACTTGTTCTTCCTTGTGTTGCAGCGCACTTAAATCAGGTTGTCCTTGCATCCTTTCCATTCGTATGCATCTTTGTTTTGTTATTTTTTTCTTTCTTTCAAATCAACTGACAGATAATATTCTTGATGCAGATCATTATGGACTCGTTTCTTGTAAACTTCTGGCTGCGGAAGGACCTCTCAACCAACAGTACAAAGGTATCGTGAGTCTCGGATTGCACTGCTTAGTATGCTTTCTCTATGCTTCGGTTACAAGTAGATTATTATTGTCTAATGTCTATGTACCCATAGAGACAATAGATTTTGTTCTGAGATCCCGTGTTTTCAAATGTATCTTGTGAATGTGATCACTTCTAACGACTCTATATGTTCGAAATTGTGTCTTAAATCAAACTACAAGGTTCTCGATCGCAGACACAAAGAGAAACCCCTAACTAATTCATCGTTGTTTCTGGCCATGTTTCTGATGTGGCATGATCTAACCGTGTTTGATTGAGAATCCCTCTGTCCGTGAGATTTTTTTCTATCAATTTTCCATCTAAGTGGAGATGCAGCGATGCCGCACTTTCGAATGAACAATAGACAATTTATTCATTATTGTGTCAAAGACAATGGGTACAAAGACCATAATCGGATTAAAACAGCAAAAAATACGTTACAAATGCAGGAAACAAGCAACAGAAACTGGCAAACTGCGAGCAACTCGGATAATCATTTTAAGCCAATTCTTCGGTTCAGCCTAAAAGCATTATCCATACAGCCATTTGAATAGGCCTGCGGAGGAATGGTGTTGTGAAACAAAAGAGAGAAACCTTCCGAGCTTACTTCGGCAATCCAGTTTCAGGGTTGAGAAGATGACATTCGTCTGACAGCACAACTGGACCTCTCCCGGGTCTTGTGCAAATAAAGTAACTGACATCTCCTCGGAATTTCTGCGACGGATCCTTGATTTCTGGAGGTGCGGGTAAAGTTTCAATATCCTCCGGGCTCTCAACCCCGGCATCTTTTAGAATTGACTTATCGCCAAGAACGAAACTGGGAAATCAAATAAGAAAATAATTATTAAAAGAACAAGGAACAGGGTTGGCACCAGAAAAATCATTGATGCGGAATCTTGCGGAAACAAGAATATCTTAAAACTTGAGGATCATTTGATAGCATCCAAACTCCAATTACCTGCTCAAATCTGCATCAGAATTTGGTGGAAAGCAGAATAGCAACTTCTGAATCAAAAGGGCAGCTGTTTTTCTGTTACGTGCAATTAGAACTGCATTCGGCCCCGCATCAAATGTATAAGCCACCTGCCGATTATTACAATATTGTCAAATACTCGAAGAATAATATAAACAGCGTGCAACACATATAAATAAGCTTTATAGAGTTCAAGCCGAAAATCATTTTCCGACTAATCATATACTAATATGCCATAAACTTATAAAATGTAAGATCAGTGCCAGAAGGGAAGAAGCAGGTCCAGATTAGGATCTCTGAAGCACTTAGGAGTCGCAACCTAAATTTAGTACTTTTAACAACATTGTATAGTCTTGTCATTCAGGAAAGGTACATCTCATGGAGACTTACAAGCATGCTTTGAACTAGGTTTTATCACAAGAACGAAGTCTGATCAAAATTACTTGTAAAGCTGAAGTCAAAAATTGTTTCCTTTCCAAATAAAAAACTGACGTCGTTACAGCTTGTATTTGTTTCATGTATCTGTGCAATTTGGGTCAGTTGAGGCATTATATTAAGAAAACATGTGCAGTGCAGCTCCATCTAGGTGAATCTCTTTATGATAAAGCCATAACGACTTCTACTGAAAATATAATCACTTTTGGTCTAATACTGAAAAATTCAAGATAGTCGGAGCACTGGTAATTTTAGGATCATTATCATGCTAGAAAGACAAACAATCAGTATTTTATACTCATTCAACATCATTTAGTTTCTTCCTGAAAATTCAAACCTGAGGTGTTCCTTCTGCTTTGTTCCACTTTTCAACAAGGCTTATTATCCTGAAACATAGGTACATCGTCAATATTAATTTTCAAGTGTATAGCGTCACCTCAATGAACAAAAAAAAAAAAAAAAATATTACTCTACTTGCTAAGCTTGTCAAGTGACACAAATGTGACGGGGCTTGCCTGTGGGATGTATCATTCATGTAGAATATGGGTGGACATGTGTCCAGGCAGACAGCATGAAACTGGTTACTGTCAGTACAGGTCAGTTGTGCAAAAGAAGCAAAATCACGGTTTTTTATGGCTTCTTCCATTTTTAATATGCGTTTTGGTACTACTTCCTGTAACAGTGTCAAAAGAGACAGAGGGAAAACAAATTAGATCAGAGTTTAAATGACTCCAAAACAATAACAAAAAATAAGAAGCGATTTTTTTCCTGGCTGAGGCGGTTTAAAGGTTCCAAGGAATTTAAAAATGACAGAAATTAAATCCAAAATCTATATAATCTCTTGAGTAGTTAACCTATTGAGCATAATTCGATATAATACTGAATTTGTGGTTTCTTTTTAAAATGCATCAAACGCAAAACCATCGAGCCCAGTCACTCAACCATCTACTACTGAAGACAAATCCTATTATTTAAGCTGAACAGTGAATGGGAAAGTGGAGAACGTACCTTTGCTCTATGTTGTAAGAGCAAACTTGTTTCAACAGTATCACGCATTCCTGTTGTGCTACTTGTTTCCTTCTGTCGTGAACTTACCTGGAATAAACAAAATCAAGAAGGTAAATAACAGGATCTTTACGGTTGTAGCATCTCAACATTGCAGAAGAAGTGGAGCCTTTATAAGCATCCGCGATATAATTTTTTTTGGACTTAAGTGACAATGTAAGTTATCTGACTTAACTCCATTTAAAAAAACGTCTTCTTTATAACAGCGACAACTTATCTGTCTGTCAAATTATTAACTCTATTAGATGAAAATTTTCACTCTTTTTCTATTTAATTTATGCTGGACTTTGACTTAATATCTTCCCAACTCTTTGCATGAAAGGGTACCTTCACATATATCATGTATTTGATTTCAAAAATGTAGTTCCCACTTTCCTCGAATATTCATGCAAATAGTACAGGTGAAGAGAATGGTGGCATCAACAAGCATACAATAGAAAATATGACTAAGCAAACTAGATAAGTTCGTAGGCAGTGTTTACAAAACTAAAAGGTATCATCGCCAAAAATATATCGCCCAAGGATACACACATTAAGATGACAGAATTTATACTACCAAACCAGAAAGACATGCAGACACAAACAGATATAAAGTACTGTATAAGCATCAATATACAAATGTATGGCAGAGATGGAAAGAAGAAAATTCAAAAGACCCCAGAGAAAACCTTTGAAGAACCGAACACAAAATGCCAAGATATAAAGTACTGTCCACAGGCCAAAATTTACCAACACAATCATTTACTAGAATGAGAAATGAAAAGACAATACATACCACAGCGATAACAATAACAAGCTCGTCCCAGTGCTTCTCATCTGCAAGTTGGACTGCAAGACTGTCGGTTCCCTTCTCTTCCTGAATAGATCATGATACCAAGAATCAGATTTAAAAGCTCGATAGGAAAACTTGCTTCTCAACAGAGGGCATAATGATAACAATAAAAAAAATTAAAAATATAAACTAAGCTTACTTTTCCCATGATCCACTTGACAAATCCCCCATACAAGCTGCGGCAAGCACTACCAGAACCTTGCCTGTATGAGCAAACAAATTCAAGGAATTATCCCCACGAACTACAACCAGCATACTAGCATCTCTATCATGTGAATAAAGAACAAAGATTTTTATAACACACAACCTCTAAGATGAACTAAAAATAAAGCAACAGCGTAAATTCATCTTCAGTGAGGCCTATATAGTGGCTGATATTTATGTAACGTAAAATTTCATCAACAACCACAACAATGACAGATGAAACTGAAGTGCAAGGCGCTCCCAATTTAATCATTATAGCTGAAACAAGATACAGGCACCCAGGAAATGAGATATCTTATTAACTCTCAACTACCTTGCAATAGCAGAAAGCTGGCTGTGATCTTCTTTCACGTTCATTAGCTTTCCGAGAGCAAAAACTGCAAAGTATAAACAGACATTTAGCTACCATATACTCATTGTTAATTATTATGTGTTGATAAAAAAAAAAAGAGTAATCTACAACCCGAAAGGGAAAAAAAAGTATTCCAAAATATTAAGAAAAGATAAAAAGAGAAGTTAAATTCTAATTACCTAGACAAGCAAAACCAGCTGCTGAGGAAGCCAATCCAGCAGCAGTAGGAAAATTGTTATACGAAGAAATATGTACATGCAACTTTTCCCAGTCCTTCTTAGTAATATTGATTCCCTTTTCCTTATCATCAATATCGGTAGCTCGACTGCGAATTTCTCTTAAACAGCTTTGGAATCTGCCTCCGGAAATGGAAATCTCCTACACTAACCCGAAAAAACATAAGGAGCCTTGAATCAGCGAAAAAAAAATAACAGTGCAGGTTGTAAAATCTAGTTACCACTGTATTCCAAGTTTCCAACACATAAAAAAGCCAACTCAACCAAGACAAAAAAATAAAACCTGCTCTTGTTTTATGAGGACAGATCTAAAGATACATACATTATTCAAAGTTTCAAACTTCAGTCTCTTCATTTCATCACCTACTTTCACTCAACACTCATTTGGCCAAGAACATTCTCCCTGACACCCGGGGCACCGAGTTCGAATCCCCCAGACTGTTCCTCAATCTCTTCCAAATTTACAATCAGTCACTTTCAGCATTTGAAATTCCAAATTTACACATTTTACTGGCAACAAAATTTTAAAATCCACAAAATTTACAAAATTATGGCTCCCAATGGAGGCCCACCGAGTTGTTTATATCAAAGCTAAGAGCTTCTCTGAGCCTCTGATCCCAAACAAAGAAAGTACTCCTGTTTGTTTGCGGGCATTTTCCCGGGAACCAAACAGAAAGAAAGAAACTTGTAAGAGAAAGAGAAGAGGCGACTAAAAGGTATACCTCGCCATTGAGCCACATCCGATCTTGGTCAAAGGTGGGACTGACGGAGACAGTGGTGGTGGTGCAAAGGTGCGCAGGATCAAGCGTCACGCTGATGCTGTCATTGACTGGCAAGATGAGCTTCTCGTCCCTCTTCCCCCAGTACTTGATCACGGCGATGTTGGTGGGCGTCTGAGCCGTCACCATCAGCACCCATTTCTGCGACTCGTCGGCCATTGAATGCTGCAAAAACCAAGATTTTCCGGGAAAAAGAAGAGCGAGAGAAGAGATCTAATTAACGAGGAGTGTGAATCTGAAAGCAAATTGGAAGTTGGTGTTGGAGTTTTATATAGTGGAGGGCGGAGGAAGAAGCCAAATGGTGGGATTTGTAGTTCATAGTTGAAATTGTAGGAGAGAGGGGCCTCTCGCTGGTGGGCACCCACCCTGTTGGGACGCCATTCTTGGACTTGGACTTCGATTCTTAATTTTCTTCGCCAAAAAGAAAAATAATATAAAATAAAAATGTTCACCAAATTTTAACTCAATTTCAGTCCAACGAAATGATTATAAAGTTTTTACAGAAAAAATAAATAAATATAAATGTCAACTAGAGTTGGTTGAGTTAGTAAGGATCATTCTCTTTACTAAATCACAGCCTAAATTTTAGTCCCGCTACTGCCAATTCAATTTGGTGGACCATTTGTGAAAACAAAAAAATGGCTAAGAGCAATTCCAATGGAGCTATCAAAAGATAAATGTTAAATGTTAATTTGATAATGTGGCAATGTCAGATTTTTATGTTCCTCCGATCCATATGTTTTTGTTTTGTTATAAATAATATTCGTATGACCTATTTTTAAAAAGAAATTAATTAAAATAAATTTTCAATGTCTATAATTGATGCATTAATGAGACCTATACACTAAAATAATTAACTTTTTTTTTCGCGATATCACATTTTCTCATATATCAAATTTGACATATGAAAATTCATATGTCAATTCACATAGAATTGACATATATGTTGGAGCTTATTCCTACCTTTAAATTAGATTATATGACATTTCACTTAAGATTTGACATCTAATTTGGAGATGATCTAAATCCTTCTTTGTAAGTCCTTAAAGAAAGTACCCAACAAATCACCGACACAGCATGTACTCTACAAAATATGATCTAAAAACATGTTCTATAAAAAAAAAAAAAATTCTAAATAAAAAGCCAAACCAAACCAGGTAAAGAGGGGTAATGTTTTGCTAACGTCTATCTAGGGTTGGCAATGTGCCGGTTTCGTGCCGTGCTGAGGCAAGCTTACTACACAATTACATAAAACGCAACCGCAAACTGAGTCTGAGCTAATTTATTTAACGTGTTGAAACACAAAATCCAAATTCAACTTGTTTATTAAACGGCTTACTTGTCACAACCCAACAAATTGAGTTTGAGTTTATTAAGACCTAATAATGAAGAGTTTAATGTCTTATTAATCTATAATTAAGGAGTGATTAAGTTGTTTGGAGTCGGAGTTGTTGCTCCAACCCTTATGAAGGCTCAAACTCGTTTTGTAATGTTTTTCTCATTTGAATATATTGTGACTTCAAATAATTTACTCATTTTATTGCTAGCGATATTACTATTCTAAGTTACGCTAAGGTTCTAAATAGATAGGAAAATAAATTAATTCGGAGAACAGTATGTTCAAGAAGAACGTTCTATCCACCAAGTCAATCCACCAACTTGCAAACGAATTACCCCTAAAAAATACGATAATGCAAGAGGCTTGACTAAAACAACTCGAGACACTCAAGCAATTCTCATCCGCTAGCAATTTTACTTTTCTTTTAAAATTACATGGGATTTTTTTGGCACTTGTGCTTGTACAAATAGTAGAATCTTTGACATTATTTCTCTTTTTCTTTTTTATGAAAACAATGTTTGTTACCAAATGAATGTGAATATGGAAGAAATCAAGGTTGGTAGGTTGCTAAAAATAAAAAAATTGACCAAACTTTGTATATTAATATATATATATATATATGTAGTCTGAGAACAATACAGTCACACATCCAAATGTATATACCAACTCCAAAAGTAGAAGACTTGGAAGGGTTTAGTAATATATTGCTCCCAACCATGTGTGATTTGTATGAGTATTTGAAGGTCCTACCCAAGAAATTCAACTAAAGCAAGCTGCAGGTTTCACCACATGCATATTTGTCCATTAACTTTTAATAATATTTTTCAGGTGCTCCCAAGTTTTTTTATTTTTTTTGGGTTCAACAAGTACTACGCCAGACTCCAGTACAGACACACTTAAAAAAAAGTAAGAAAAAAAATTGAACTAAGAAAACTTATTTCTCCATTTTAAATAGGCTTATTTTTAGCTTTGCCCTTAAGAAGTTGAAACTCAATTTTAATCTTATTTTGCTGCTATAACTCGAATATCACAATTTTACCCTTTGAAACTCAAAATTTATTTTACTTTGATTGTAACTCTCCCTTCACCTTGAAACTCCAAAACCGCCATGGAACATATGTAGGACTCATCACCCAATAAGACTATACTGCATGTGCCAATGAAATAGATTATAAATCTCTACTATGCGTTAACATTCAACAATCATAAAATATTAAGTTTAAAAGAAAAAAGAAATTAAGAATTGGAAGTTTTTTGGGTTGTTGTGATTGAGTTGTAGTTGTAGAGATGAAAAAAAATAAAAAACAAATTGATTAGTCTGGTCCACCCAAATCAAACCAACATAACAAAATTAAGGCAATATAGAGCGAATTTTGAGTTTTATATAGAAAAATGACGACTTTTGAGTTTTAGAGGGCAAAATGGGTTCAAAAATCGAGTTCTAGAGGGCAAAGTGGAGTGAATTCGAGTTTCAAGAGAGTACAATGAAGACTTTTGAGTTACAGAGTGCAAAGTGAGATTAAAATTGAGTTCCAAGTGGGGTAGCTAAAAATAAGTCTTTAAAAATGTTTTTTTTTTCTATAGTACATACCACAGAGTAAATCAACAATTAAATTTTTATATATGTAAATTTAATGACAGTATGATCTTGTGTAAAACTCGTACCTTCTAGTTATACCGTACTATAGTAACTGGACCATAAAAGAGGCGTGCTCGTAAGTGCAATTATGCATGGTAGGTACGTAGTTATACACATTCCAGTTCATCGTCAACCAAGTAATCACATTGAAAAATGTCAACCAAGGCCTCTTTTTCTGATGAGCCCAAATTTTTGTGCATCTTGCATGATTGAAGAGTTTCAGACTTGGGGACTTCTTTCAACTTGCTCATAAATTAAGAATTGATATACATTTACACTTGTTAATTTGAGACAAAGTTGGTGAGAGCCAAAAATTAATCTTTACCTTGTGGGGAGGTCCATTAACTCATTAGCTGAACTAAGATGGAATTAAGAAAGCTGGTAGTATGTTTAAGATCTAAGGGGCTATTAATCGTCATTTAGTATTACGATTAGATAGTATTTTTGTTCACTTGTAAGGGGAAGATTTTAAGTCCAATTTCTATTGATAAACATTTCGATTTCAATTTTTGAGTTTCATTTTTTAGTGTAAACTCTTTTTATGTGATGATGTTCTAGTTTAAGAGAAAAAGAGAGAAGAATTGCACCAAGTCACACGATGCGCAAATAACTAAGTATCATTGTTAGCATAAATAATCATTGTTATTCATATGAATCAAACTTGAATCTGTTAGATATTAATCAAGTGCTCAACAAGGTGACTGCATGGAAAGTGTCTCATTTCACCAAGGTTCTAAAAGACGCTAGGCGCTAGTCGGGCGGCAGGCTGGGGCCTAGCGCCTAAGCGGATTTAATTAAATTTCGTGTAAATAAGTGTCTATTTATATTTAAAATATATATAATTTCATCATAAACTACAAAATAGAATGACATATATATTATGAGTTATTGGAACATAATGAAAACATGATAAACAAGCATATAATATGTGTTTTCATTTAAGTATTCAACAAAAACAAAATGTAAAATGAAAGTTATCTATTTTTTGTTTAAGTGAGTTGCAACCCAGGCAGATCTTGGCTAGCTAGGCGGGTGTTTAAGCGGTCTAGGCGGGTCCCTTAATACGTCTAGGTGGTCTTTCTTAATTTTCAAATGAATAGGTATTAGTTGAAATGATGACTAACTGCTTAGCACTTAGGCAAGGCCTAAATTGAGATTTTAAGAAAAGTGTATATCACTCAGCAGCAAGTGCTAATTCCAAATCTGCACACAAGGGAACCCAATTTCCGAAAAAAAAAGAAATCTGCACGATTGAAATGATATAAATGGGTTTTCTGAGTCAAAATACAACAGCGTAGCCCTCCATTGTTGGCTTTCTTCTAATTTGTAGTGACAACGACTTCATTGACATGGGATAGCTGCTGTCTGTCCCCACTTTCCAATATATAATTATAAATTAGGACGGCTCTCACCAACTTCTGTTTATTTATTTATCTATCCATCTGTCTTCCATCTCACCGACTTATATGTGTATATTTATATTTAATTATACCGAATATTGACGGTATATGCTCCTCAACTCAGTCCACTTCATACTAAAGTTCTCTCATATTGGAAAATACATGAGAAAAGAGAAATGCTAAAAAAATTCTCTTAAAATGAAACATAAATTTTGCCATCTCATAATTTTTGTATAATATTTTGTAATATTGTTATAGAAATGAACGTTAAACTATGAGATGAGTTCAAGTTCATAAAAGTTTAACTTTTAAGAGAATCTCTTTTGCATTTCTCATATTTATAAAATTTTTGGACGTAATCATAATATATTTTTTCTCTCCATCTAATTCCACTATATAATCCGTTTTTAGTGTCAAAATATTAGTTAAATTGTCGTCAAGAGTTACGAGCAAAAAGGCGAAGAAGCAATTTACTGAGTAATTTTAGTAGTTGCAATTGAATAAGAACTAAGAAGAGAACAACATAATGGCAAGTGATATCATTATCCTGTAGGGAAACTTGCACGTAGTTTGGCTGTTTGAGTTTGCACGTTCAAAGTAGCACGGCGCCCAGACCTAACTTCGTTGGTAAACGCTATACACTAAACACTAAACAGGTTGAATTTTGATGAAAACTGGTCCTGACAATAAGTATAATTTCAGCGTATTAGATAGGTTCGTCGGTCCTTTAACAAGTTGACTGTTAACGAAAGTTTAATTTCTTAACGAGGGAGTGAATGTTTTGGATGCGACGGACGACATCATCTCAACTCAACTGTTAGCAAAGAAGATATGCGGCTTCAAGACATTCCAACTCAAGTTCATCATCTGACACTGACATGCATGAAGAAGAATTTGATACTTTAAATCAAATTAAGGATCCATATTGGTATGTGCTCCTTCCTTCCTTCCCTCCTTCCTTCAAGTCTTCTTCAGATAG